CTCTCGATGCCATAAAACCACAGCAAAATGACATCGGAAGAAGAAACAGAAAGATGGAAAACCAATTTGATCGCCATCATGGGGCGAAACGCAGAATTTTCCAAAAAAATCAAAAAGTATACGTCCGCGATTTCCGATATTCACCTCCACAATGGACCAGTGGACGCATACTTAAGAGACGAGGAAACGTAATGTATGTGGTGGAAGTTGAAGGACAGAAGTGGACACGCCATGCCAACCACATACTGGAAAATGCTGGCACTTCACAGAAAACCGAGAAATTAGGCTCACTGTGGAGAATCATTCTGGACAGTTTCGACATAAAATGCTCAGCACCTCAGAAGACTGCGCAACCTGAACAAAGTCCTATTAGGAGATCATCAAGGAAACGCAGAAGACCAGATATTCTACAGGTGGACCCAAATAGAAGAACATACGTTTCCAAGGGAAGATATCAATGATGATATCTCAGCTCTTACCTGTACATAGTGACTAACCATGTTTTTTTTTCAAGGCGGAAGGTGTTGTGAACGGGGCATTAAGAAGCCCAGACAACTACGGAAGCCATTTTCTTGGGACGTTAATTCATTTCATTCAAACCCTGTAAAACACTTATATTTATTTTTGTTCCTATCTTATTCTACATAACATGAGCTTTCGTCCTATGTATCATTCACTATCATACTCTTTTTTGTTCCGAAAATATTGTAATTTAAACATAATATTTTGCACTTTATTTTCTACCCTAATTCCCTGTTTCGAGCATAACTGTATTTTTCCAAATTATCGTACATCGTGGTCAAGATATTCACTTATTTATTCATGTACATTTTTGTACTAATCCGAATTCAGAGAATCCAGAGTTCAGTGTTCCAACTGTCTTGTCTTCTTTCACTTGCGTGCTTGCCAACCAATCAGGTTCTAGAATAGTTGTCTCTCTACCCCATCTTGAACTCACGCGTATTAGACCCAAGGTTAAGCCGCTCAGCCTAACGTGTCAAGGTCATAATTTAGACTAGACAGATCAAGGTCAAGTCATAACAAGTATCACGGGGTAAAAGCGATTCAAGTTCATAACAATTTGAATAAAGTTTAAAATACACCATAAGGAGAAGTGACAAATGAATGACAGTACTGATCAACAAAACGCTAGGGGGAATTTTCAGTGTTTTATTTCCATTGCATTGGTTGTTATATATTGTAGTCTAATCTGCTCAGTCAATTACTTCATTTTAATCCACATCGAGCTGTGGGGTAAAAATAACAAATGCTTGATAGTAGATTTCACCACACCGAATATTAGTTCGACAGAGATGGATACTGCAGGGTCTAAAAACTTCCGATAAAAGGATCCTGATGACGGAGATGTGGCATGCTTTAGTACTGCATGCATCCGAACCCACACACTTCGGTTCAGGCCAAGGATCTTTTGTGTTAGACTTAGTAATCACCCATGTGATTGAGGGTATTCCCTAATTTAATATTCTCCCACTGTCAACAAATAGCGACAATGTTGTTTTTCATTGGTGTTCGAGACTTGTGACACAATATACTATCGGGTTAAACTTCTCACAAATATATGGAGGGCAAACGTGACAGCCGTACAAGAGTTTGCTGCAGCAACGCACTTGCCAATAAACACTGTCCCATCAATTAAAGAAGCGTGGTCAATATTCGAAGGTACACCTAGCTTAGTTATGCCCCCATCTATACTATGCTTGGTACTACTCAGACTTAGTGACTGCCAACCATGAATAACCAAACAAGTCGGGAAACGTTTTGGACATAGGAAGAATAATTGGAGTATGTTTTTCTGTGCGTGCTGTGAACAGTACGTATTTACATATTGTAAGACTAGGAATGCTTGAAAAAATTTGGTTAGTATGACTAGACATTGATTTGAAAAGCAATTGGTTGAAAGTTGTGAAAATAGTCCGAAAATATTGTTCTCATATGTGAAGATGAAATCCCAGAGAAATGGTTGAACCATATCACTTTCGGCTAAATGATAGTTGTTGCTATTGGCGAAAATGTTGTAAAAGCCTAAGCTTTATCGTAATATCCTATCAAACCGTCCTCTATTACCGATGGTAAAAACCAGCACTTAATTATAACAATGGTGTCTTGTCGGAGGATTTATAGTGGCATTGGGCCCTAAAAACACAATCCTCAGGGTCGAACACGAGGCAGCTGGGAAAATGGATATTCAACATTTGACGCGGAGAAAAACCCAACGATGGAGAATTCGGGAAGAATGAATTGAAATTATTCGAATTGATTAGATGGCATGGCTCGGCCTTGCAGGCGTGATCTCTGTTGAATGTTATCTTATATCTTTTATTCATATTAAATTTATGGTTCTATATCTAGCCTAAGCCTGTTCTCCATTATGTATTGGTGATTGTGACGTACGACGAGTCAGTGTAGACAACGATGTGACTTCCACGTAAGATCTTATAGATTAGGCAGTTATAAGATGACAAATGTACAATTTTAGGTTTAGGTCAGTTATCATAGCAGTACTAATATCACAGTAGACCATGATTCTACAGATTCTCTGGTCAATGAGAAAGGGGACTGTTTTATGAATAATTCAACATCTCAAACCAAATAGGTTCAGCGGCCTAACAATATTCGTCCTATGATCACGACATCTTTGTAAGATGTAATTGCAGAGCTTCTTGCAACACTGTTTAAAATGTCTTTGAAGCAGTTTAAACCGTCAAGAAACTGCAACTGCATAATATTCAGTCCAGTCCATAAAGCAAAGAATAAAGTTTTAGTTGGTTTAGCCAGTGTAGTCAAGTAAAAAAAAGATTATTCGATTGGCTGTTCTAAACTGTACGATAGGGGACAATTTTTTAGCCAGGTAACAACATGGTTTTATGAAAAGAAATGTATGTTTGACAAATTCCATCGCAAAAAAAGGTTGAACTACAGCGAAATTTAGTAATAATTTGGTAGATGAAATGTTTATAGATCTAAGTAAATCTTTAACAAGGTCTCTTATGCTAGTTCAGATTATAACTGGACAGTTCTAGGACTCGTTGCGAAATTGCAAACTGGATACATGGTTTTCTCAGTGATAGCATATAACGAGAAGAAGTGAACGGCACTCTGAAAACTGTAAGAAGTAGATTTCTTCAAAGTACACTCTTCGACTTTTACGCAAATGACTTACAGAGTATTGCAAATTCATATGTTCTATTCAGGCCCATACAACGTATATCCGATAAAATAATATTCCATAAATGGGTAAAAAAATGTTCAGTGTATCATACCCGACTTTTTTGAAGCCGCATTTAGAACATAAGCTTTAAGCTGTGAGCCACTGTTTACAGCATGGAGCGGATATGCTAAAACGACCTTCACGGTGAGGGACCAAATTAGTTAAAGATCTTTCCTGACTATCTTACGAAGACAGATTGAGACGCATCCAACTATATCTGTAACAACCGAACTGCCAGTATTCGGTTTAAACGCAAGACTGACGGACGAAATTTTTTTCTAATAGGACAGACTACGTTCTTCTGTAAAGCGTACCGAGCGTTTTTGTAATACTCGTATTAAATTACATCAAAACACAATTTCTGTGCTCGATTTAAACGGTTCTAATTTAAAAATAGAATAAATCATATCAAAAATACAAAATACGTCAAACGGTAAAGCCTGTGCTATACAGTCAGAAGTTTCTTTAACGCAAAATAGCTCACTAACCAATAAAAGTAACAGTTAATACCAAAGGGTTCGATATATCTGAAAATCAATAAAATAACGGAATTCTCTACGAGGACACGGAACATGAGAAAATCCTGTTGACACGTTCAAAATATGTTTCGATCTTCAAAGTGCTATAAACTACAAGTAATAATACAGTTTATCTGACCTCTTATCCTTTCTATTGATGATTGAAGATTGCAGCTGACCTTTCAACATTTAGGTTACAGTTTTGAGTACTTTTCCACTCTTCAAGGTTGGTTTATTTGGGTGCTGTCGGTAATTAGTATATTGGTAGGTAGGTTCTATGTATGTAGTAATGAATAAATTAAGGCAATATATTAAGAAAAAGTCTTTTTAATCATTTTTATGATGGTGTCTATCTAGCATCATCACTTTAGACTTTTCCATTAGAAAGATTATTGCTTCGGAGTAGTCGTGCTTGTAATCGCTAATAGAAAGTCCTAGGTTGACTGTCAAACGATGCCTTAAGCACATTTGGAGCTAAGTACCCGTAAAATCTGGTTGGCAATGAAGTGTCGAGCTAAAAGTATGGACATCTTACGACCTGAATTCTTACGTATAAGATGAGGTGTAAAAAAAAATTAGTATCTCATCTACCTAAGTTGTTATAAAAGTCGTGTCTTCAGAAAAGATCTGTCCTTATGCCTAGACGTCTCAGAGCAAGTTTGTCTGCTGATGACTGATAGTATCGTTTGAACCTTAAATCCACTGATTCACTGTATCACTTTTTATATCCTCCTATACCTTTGGCTTAAAGGTGCCCACTAAGAAACATATTTTGAAAAATGATTGGCGTATAGACACTACTGCCCTTTAGACGTTCAAATATAACATCCAAGTGACTCGTAGGTTGTGTTTTATGTGCTAGACGTAAATAGAGACAACTGTTAATGAAAGACTCATTTAGTCGTATAATCTATGTAATTTGGCAGCTATAATCTTCAATAGTATTCGTAGTAGGAACACCTAGGAAAATAATTGAGAGTTAGTTTGGTGCATTTTATTTGACTACCTTTTTTAGATATTAGTTCTCCTACCCCTATCTACTTTTATATTTGCTTATAACAACTCGATATTTTGTTCCATACTTCATAGAATTAGTGCTGAGGTGAGCGTGAACTTAATTAATTACTTTGAGACCGCTCGCATTGAAGAAATTTTTCGAGTGTATTTTTCCCCATAATTTTTCACCGAACTTTTAGAGACATCGATAGTTCACATTTTGTATATATTCCAGTGTAATCCAGTTGATTTATATAATGAAAAAAAGGAAGGTTTGGAAGTTTCGAATGTCATCTTTGAATTTTCAAGTAAAGTGAGATTTTCGGTTTTTGAATAAATATTGTACATCCTAGCCACCACAATCACACTTCTCAGTTTAGTGACTTCTTAAGTGAACTAAAAAAAGCAGAGTTAGCGCACTTATGGCGTAGCTGTTTTAATAACCATCGAAGTATCTTGCAAAATAATATCCACTGTCGTGTATCAAAGACAACGGTAAGATGTAATGATTGGATCAAACATAAGATTATAAAAACTTTTCAGACTTGCAAATCAATTTTGGATAATTTTATGGATGTACTTTCAAACCCACAGAATTTGAACTTCGTTAAATGTCTTAACTGCACATATAATCAGAATGAACTCATTATGGATTATGATGTTGTTGGAGTATCTCTCTATGATGTAATCAAGTATAGTCCCGGTCGCCTACAAAATCACAACACACTGTTATTTCTCACTTATCAGGTAATTTACTACTTAATTGTCACGTAAATTCTCACAGGCAATTCATACCATCACTCAATTACACGAAATAAATTTACCCCATGGTGGTATAACATTGGATAATATATTTGTAGACGAAAAGTTCAACATCTTTCTTGGTCTCCCAAAAGCCATTGACTTTCTGTCAAACATGAAGACAAATGAGTTACACGAAGAGGAAAATACCACAGATATCGATATTGCGGTGTGCAGTAGTAGTAAGTTGTCCACGATGACAACTAACTGGATACTTCACAAAGTAAGCAAATTCATCTTGTCTTGATGTAATTCAATAAACGAAGGACAAGTTGATACTCTTCAGTGGCGCTTTACAAATATGTCTGTTGTGTATGAAGTCCATATTCTCATTTATTTTTATAATATGTATATATAAACTTTATTCAATATTAAATTTTTAGTACAACATGTAATTTTAAGCTCAAAGTATTTCAACAAGTTTCTTTTTCTTATTTCTTGATCAATCCTAACAATAAATATTGAGTGATCGCCAGTTAGAAGTTAACAGTCCAATCAATTGACATCCAAATAATGTACATTCTTTTCGCTGCATATTGTCAACAACCACAATATCTCTTATCGGGTCTTTTGTAATCTGTACAACGAAAGATTGTACACTTTTCAGAAACTCACCCAAATAGGTTATGCGAATAATAGCCATAATGACGTATTAAAACAAAAAAATTAGATAACGTGCCGAAATATCCAGATGACAGGAACAGTAGCTCAGATGTTCAAGCAGGCCGCCATATATATTATAAAGTCAACTGTTCCTACCATTATGTGTGTACAAATCCTTAATAATTTTCAGAACGATATTCACTGAATTCCTAAAATATTTTTTCTGCCAATATTTCTAAATACAATAGTTCTCTTTAATAAAATTATTTTTATCAAAGTGATAACTAAATCTTTAAAATTTACTTTATATCTTGTTGTAAACCGACTTTCCACTATTTCTGGCTAAATTTTGTGCATTGCTTATTGTAAAACGCTAGTAATTTTGAATGATAGTTATTACGCTTCTTTCGAAACCATTAATTGGGGCATTACAGTGTTAAAATACTTATTTGGCCGAATTTAAGGTCCATCGAGTTTCTGTTTAGATTTCCTACCCAATCAACAATTCAGTATGTTATTAGTATTTAGTTAACTTTGTGCTTATTTGTTTTAAAAAGTCATGATCTCCGAATTTATTTTCAAAGTTTTCTACTCACAGACTTTCTTAATAGTATACTGACAAAACAATAATTTCATTTGTCTTAAACATATTTTCATCGTTTGTCTATCGTATTTATCATCCTAGCATTTAAAAAATAATTGAGTGAACATAATTGTTGTTTAAAAGACTAGATAATTAGAAAACCACTAGATATTAATATTCATCTAATTTTTTTCAGGAAACAGTTAACAACCGAGCTCGTAGGAAATCTCAAGTATTGCTCTAGATTGATTTTTAGATATTCAATTTTTTTTAATATTACGAGATTTACTTTGCTGGTGTGCTACCTAATCGAATACTTGTCTGATAGATCCGTTGTGTTTTGGTTATGGAGTGGGCCTTGACTAGTGAATGATCGTTTAGAGAACTGTCGAAATAAATAAATGGAAATGTGATTGATAGATTAAATATAATGATACTATATGGTCGAATGAATTCTTTTTCCGAGACCGGACTAACGATTCAAATGTTCATATAAATTGATAACAAAAACGAGATTACTAAACAACAGGAAAAGCTTTCTAATTAAACTTCATATTTGTGTATAAAATATTAAATACAGAAATAAACGTGATTAGAAATAATTCTAAACATAAGGTACTAGGGAATAAAAACTTCGTTCGCCACTCAAGTATCAATAGGATTAGGGCTTGATTATTGAGTCTCTTCTGACATTAGTTTCTGATGTTTTGCTTGGATTTTTATTTAAAAGAAACATATTTTATTGTTCGGCTAACAAAACTGAAGTATCAAGGCAAAGTATGAACCTCTAACCTAGTAGTTTAAATTCAAATTTCTTAACTATTTCACTATTATTCTACTGTTTATAAGACATCTCAAAACTCTGGAATTAATTATTCGAGTAAGTAATAATTACCTCATCAAGTAGTTATATTTTTCAGACCTATTCTGCTGAATAGTGAATCGATTTTTTTGGTTATAGTCTTCATTATCTGAAAAACTAAAATTAATTGTGAAAATCTGGAATTTCGTAATAACTTAACAGTTATCATAATTAAAACTACAATCTCATTAGGTACGTGTCTCGACATTGAATGAATTTCTAATATGGTTTTTAATATTTCTGTAATATTCGCCTTGTATTTTTGAGTTTCAGTGGTCACTGTACTATTGTTGTCTATATTTAAATGAGATTCATGCAATTACCAGGCTTCCAGTCCTTTGGATGAGTTCAGCAATTCTCTTAAGCACTTGTTTTGATCATGTAGATGTCCTGTTCATCCAGTTAGCAAGAACAGATAATATGGTCATTTCTTCACCGCATTTGCACTATCGATAAGGTTGGTCTAAAACAAAAAGGGTAGTCGTTATCATAATTAACCTCGTGAAAGTGCTTTATTTGGCTTGTCTCCGAAATTTTTCATTCACTTTGTGATATGTGGTTGTATGGTTGATTTGAAATATTAAGATGTATTTCAGTTTTTACATATTTGTCTCCTTTCGATGATAACAGTTACTTAGTTTTTTAAATTCGGAACTTCCAACCGTTGGGCCACAAGGTCTGAATTCTGTCTCACTTCTGTTTGACCAGTACTCTCTCGCACAAAATATGTAGCTCAAAACTGAGTACACAAATATGCTCTTAATTATTGTGATGCACTCTTTTTTTACCCACTTTAGTTTTAGTTGGTGATTAGCATATTTAAATCTCACGACAAGTTTTGTTGAAGACCTAGTACACTGAGTTTGGTCAAGGATTTTCATTAATTTAATCGTTATTTTAGCATCTTTCGTCACGAAGATATCAAATAGGAAGTCGCTAAGCTAAAATATTACAAAATATATATAACTCGTTTTGCTTAACAATATGAAACCTTTGTTGTCTTTATTTCAGGTCACAAACTATGATTACCTGATGTTTCTAAATGAACTGGCTGGTCGACATAAGGGGGATCCATCAAACAGTGCAATTTTACCATGGATAACAAATTTTGATATGCCTTTGGGACAGTTAAGGGATTTAACAAAATCAAAGTATCATTTGTGTAAAGGAGAAGATCAATTGGATGCAAATTTTACGACATCTCTATATAATCATGCAATATCTAAGCGTCCTAGTTGGCCACTAGGTACTTATAATGTGGAAGAAGATTATGATATTAGGAATCATCATCAGGATTTTATGAAATTGTGTAATGATTTGGGTAAGACAATCAATGTATTTATCGACCGTTATTCCTTCTGCTTTTAGGTACCTGTAGTATAAGTAATGCAGATACCAACTTGGCGTGCAATAATGTAGATGCATGTATATCTAATGGTAAATTGTTTTTATTTAAACAAAACTTGGATATAGATAACAGGAAAAATAATACGAATTATACTTTTTCTCCTCACCATTTGTTGGATATAATGCCTGATTTAGCATACTACACATACATGGTGAGTAATTACTATTACTAGTCTAATTCTGAAGCCATTAAGATCTGATTCATAGTTGTATTGAATCAAGACCAAATGCATTTATTCTAGTAACTATTTCTGCCTTTCATTTTTAAAGGATTGACTTCAAAATTACTTTCGAGTTAAAATGAACAGACCATATTCTGTTATCTTTGACTGGTGATAAGGTATGGTTTTTGAATTATCCTAAAACCAATTTGGCTCTATAGTATATGCATTTTGAAGTTTTTCAGTCAGTGCTGACAAGTATTTTCTCGTATTTCTGACAGGTTGATTATTTGACGTAAAAGTCTCTGTAGAACGTGAGTTTCAGAATACCCATACACCTTCGTTTTCTTTTTCTATACTGATACTGTTACTACTTCTACCAATTTAAGATTTGTCATGGAATAATTTTATCTCGGTACTACTGTGGTATGGCAACCTGGATCGATGAACATGTGTCAGGTCCACATTGCGTATAACTGACTGATTTGTAAAGTAATTACACGTGTCGATGCTTCTACTTGATTGAGTTGTGTGATTCTTGATTGACTGCTATGTTGATTGACTATATCTCAGTAAATTTCTGAAAGAATAATTTGCTTTTATCACAAAACCTTAGGTTATGCTTTTGAAAAATAATCCAGTTGACGTTTAAGTATTAGTTTTATGATACCCCGCGATATCACCGTGGTTCATTTCCTTTCGTAAAATACAATTAAAACCAGGCTTTGTGTGCCTTAATTCCATCCTTATTCAATATCATTGGCTTGGCTAGAAACCAGTGATCCCCTTAAGTGTTTGAATGTAAATCAACAAAAAGCTTCGCTCGTTGAAGTGATGACAGCACAAAATTGATTGAGACAATTGTTTCATTATTACGTAATATTTTACACAGTTATACCAAGGCCAATATTCTACTGTTGTCTACTTTTCTATGAGGATTCAGCATGGAAGCGAATCTAATCAATTTACTAAGATTTCGAATCCGATCATTTTGCAACGCAAAGTGTATATCCGAACTGAAACATTGAGAAGTGTGTTTTTATGTACTATATTCTATGCTGTTCAAAAAGAAACAATTATATCATATTGCTAAATCAATACGCGTATATGTAGTCAGTTTTAAGTCACAATCCTTGTACAATGCTATTAATATAATATATTCTGGAAATAATAATTACAAAATTCGAGCCAGTTTACAGGAGTGATCAGCCTGATATAAATAGTAATATTAAATGTAGAGAGCAGATATGTGGTGTACGACTACTTTAAGTTTTAAAGTGCAAAAATTGTTCATATGTATTACTACAATGAAAGGCATCAGCTAGGATCTTTTAATTCTTTTTAAGTTGACGTCTTGTTGATGTATGAGCGGTGCATTTAAGATAATTTCCTACGCCATAATGAATGTAAGTATAACCATCTATAACTAGAGAAAATAAAACGGCAGCAGAGAGCATGGAGCAAAGGCGATAAATACTACAATAGGTTAGTTAGATCTACCATAATACATATGTCAGGTTATTTTATAATGTACTATCCTTGTTGAATATTATTAAAATTAGTCAAGGTTGCCAGAGACGGTGTAAGTACAAAGTAACAGCAGGTAGGTAGGTTTACTTAGTGGATTCGGTAATAAGAATGACTAAACATTTAAAATTCTTATAGTCTCACTTGTGGAATAAGACAGATGTAAGAACACAATGCATTTTCAGAGAAGGAGTAAAGTATGAGCGGCAGTTACGCTATCTGGGTGCTCGAAATACAGTAAAATAGATAAGATTAAAACTTGTCAATGAATAGTTCAACGTCAAATGCCTTTACAACCTTACTACCGTTTTCGAGTGATTTTTTGAAATTATTTATAAAATCTAGACTTAAGCTAACAATTCCGCTGCCAATGACTTGATAATCTTGTTACTGTGCCAGTAGAAATCTCTTTTCTTACTTATTTTATGTAGCGAATAATATATATGACTAATGATTAGTTCTTTAATACGTATCTTACGGCCTTGAACATGTTCATTTACTTTTTATTTTCATTTTTATGCTTATATACGTATAATATATAATAGGCTAGAAAAACTCCCTTGTCCTTGTTGACACAGTTTGTACGTCCTGTTTATCAACCTCAAGAATTTCCAACGACTATTGCACGATTATATGAATCTACTCCAGACGAGTGCATCCCGGAGTTTTTCACAGATCCGTCAGTTTTCTCTTCTATTCACCCCGATATGGCTGACCTTGGCCTGCCGTCTTGGTGTTCTTCTCCTGAAGAGTTTATTAAATATCACTCTAAACTTCTGGAAAGTGATGAAGTATCTAGTAATTTGCACCACTGGATCGATCTAAACTTTGGATACAAAGTAAGTGATTGAAAATTTGTAGCAATTATTATTACTCGAACCGACGCATATTATGCATTGATATAGTGTTTGTATATTTGGTTCTAGCCTAGATAGTTTCACAAAATTTTTACTGATTAATAGTCTTCAAGTGATATTGTTAGGTCCGTTACTTCACATAAGTTTAATTTGAGAAGAAACAGTAGCAAGTTGATAGATATATATTTCATTGACAAGTTCTTCAACACAAACTAATTTTGTTCTTACTCTAAATTTTCACTTTTGATTATGAATAAATGAATTCTTTCTTCCATAAATGGAATACATTTTAATTACTTTTTTATGATTGTAGTTATTCGGTTCAGCTGCAGTGAATGCTAAAAATGTTCATCTAGAATTGGCAGGTGATCAAACTGCTTTACGTTGTACCGGTGTCGTATGTTTATTTCGTACACCACATCCTCAAAGAATTTGTAGTAAAAAATTATCAAAATATTTTGGTGCGACACTACCAGATATATTTCAAATGGATGTAAATCCTCCAACTTCTAAACACAATTCAGTCGGTATGAAAATGCATGCAAATAACTCTCCAAATGAAGGGTCTTTGAGAAAAAACAATCATACTCTACCGAAGTCCATTTCTAGTTCTAAGGTATGATGTCTTTCATTAGTTATAGTTTATCGTACCTACTTTGATATTTTATGTGTGAGGTAATTTTTAAAACAATAGTTCAGTAGTATATAGTTGTTAATAATCTCAATATCTTGTAGTCAGGTTTGTATGTTGAGAATTTCACATAATCAATCATTCAACTTGGATTTTCCATATTTCTCTTTGAATGATTACTTAAAAATTTTGTCATTTTTCATTGTTTTTTTTTATCGTACACATAACAGTTCTTTCGTTTTCTATACTTATGTAAACACATACTGAATTCAATATTTAATCTAAAGGATTCCTTTAACTTGTGCTTTCCAAGAATCTTCAAAATTTAAATCATAGGGAAAGTAAATTAGTTTCCCTTTCATTTGAATTTAGGTTTTATCGTTTTTTTTTTCACACCAAATGTCCTTCATTTACGACCTTCATTTTTTTAAAATAATTAAAACCAATCACTAGAAGTATTGTTTCGTAATATATATATATAAGAAAGTCATAACTACTACAGTGGAAATTCCTTAATGTATTTTTCTTCTTAATGAATTCTCGATCATTATCGTTCCTGGTAACTCCGAGCACTCACTAAAATCTTTAAATGGAAGATGCAAATTTTGCTGAACATAAGAGCTTCTACCCTATATATATATATATATATATATATATATATATATATATATATATATATATTATTGGAAATCACAAGTTGGATGCTCTAGTTTTTACGAACTTTTTAAAAAATAAACATCAAGCACATAAAAGCGACTAGAAATCGATTCATTCTCGTTTACTGAAATCCATTAACCCGATACAAACTTGAGCCACATTTTATGGGTATATGTATGCATGTGAGATGGTGGATGAGCTAGTAATAATTCGCCTCGCCCACAACGATATAATTGGAGCATTATTTACACCTGAAACTTAATAATTGTGAATAGAGTGCTTAAGTCGCTGAACCATCATTCCATTTATATTCATCAATCATAGGGAAACTCATATATAACAACTGAATATTTCAAAAAGATCTCAAGTGTATATGTATGTTTATTCATGACTTTACAATGCATATTTTTCTCCCAAAGGTTAATCACACTATAAAACTGCCAACAGGCGATAGAGATCTATGTTTCAAGTAAGTTGTTCACTCTTTTGTACAATATTCATCGAATATTTGATTATCAGTGTAAAATATTTACTCAAATGAGTTATAGGCACTTTATTTTCTATTCTGTTTTTAATTATTGAATGTTAAGTGGATGATATTTCAATGCCTCGAATCATGGTATTTGACTATATATAATTAACTAGTTTTGTAGACAATTTTCAGAGTTGTACACTGAGGTCTCTTAGTTGATTAGAGAAGTTGCGTTACTCTCAAATTTATTTGATTTAACTAGTTAAAGTCAATCTTGTTTATAGAATTTATTTTATATATTGTTTGTATTCTCTTTTGTTTGAATTCTTTTGTGAATATGATATACTCCAACATCAGTTATTTATTTTCATCCACTGTTCATATTGTAGCTTGTCTCTGTGAGTTATATAGAGTAATACCAAATAAATATATAATATTTACTTTACACTCGACATAATAATATATAAAAGTCGTATCAGTCAGTCACAAATGAAGTTCCTACTCTTACAAGTGTATTTGGGTCCAAGTTATCACACCTTACTCCACTATAGTAAGATAAAGTTAACGAAGTAGAAATTTAAGTAATTCAGATGATAATACTGGTGCTAGTGGAAAAATAAATATAAGAAGTATAGTTCGAAATGAGTCAGAAGATAATAAATCTAGAGTTATATTGGAAATCAACTTTCAGAGGAACGTTTCGAATGAGTACGTTTACTCCATTGCATCCAATGTCGAGCCATATGACTTAAAATTCACAACTGTACACTCTGACAATTCAGTGGGTCCGAATCCCAAATTCAGTCACTTATTGAGTGGATGTTATGTTTACGTGTGCCATCAGCTGAAGATCTTTTCTGCTGGCTAGCTTTAGGTATTGGGTAAACCAGTGGTCAGGGATGTGTAAAACATGTCCCAACTACCTCAGTGCTCAGAGATTTTCATTGTCTACCTTACCATCTTTACAATGTTCGCTACGCTTAATAACAGTACTACTTATTCTATTCTTCTCCATATCTAGGCTCTGTGACCAAAATATTAACGACCTACACACGTCCTCTATCACTAAAACTCATATTTTGTGGCCTGAAATAATATTGAGCGAATTATTATACAGTATACTCGCATTTGGAATAGGTATACGGGGATTCTGCCTGCACTAGCCTTCCGATAAATTAAACCAGTTCATCGCATCTGCTCCGAAATTTCGCTAGCCACTTAGTTACTATGGATAGTCCAACTCTTCTATGGTTGATGTGGCCATTTTGCTAATTGCTTTATTTCGTATGATCAGCTTAGCCATTGGTATAGACTATTAATGAAGCGAAATATCACTTTCGAACTTTCTTGCATTACTGCTCAATGCTTTGAAAAGACTTCAGCGTTTTCACCATGCAGTACTATCATCTACATATTTTAAGTCAATAAGAGTTTTAAATAAGAAATGAAGAAGTTACGTTAACTATCATATCTGAGCTAAATTTAGCTACAAATAAATTAAAAATTTATACGAATATTCGTCAAGATTAGAACGAATAGTTTGACAGTAATTGAGCGCCGAGCATAGAGAAAATTATATTTGAAATATTCTCAGCGATTGAAGCTTAACTAATTCCAACGTTTCGTCCAGCTAACTTGTCTAGACTTCTTCAGGGTAATAATCAAAATCAAAATTATCAAAGAAATATATAGCTTTTTAACAATCAGAATTATACTGTGTTAAACCAATCATATTCTGATGTTGATTTTTTGTAAAATAGGATAATTTATTTATAAATTAAGATTATCTAACTACTAACACAATGATTCAGAAATATTGACTTTCAGTTCATAATCTATTACCAGCAGGATTGGAATATGATTTGTTTAGAAAGATAATAATATGATGTAACTTTGGAAGAAGCCCCCAAATGCTCTGGTACGGCTGACTGTGGGGAGAGTCAACTCTCCTTGTCGAGTTGCTCTCACATGGCCACGCGTAGACAGCCACTGTCAGGGAAGTTCTACTCACTGCCTTCTCGCGGCTGGAGTGTTGTTTACGAAATTGACAGGACGAAAAGCGAATGTCCGGCGCTTTAACCAGGTTGTTGGATATGGAGGGTCCATCTAGGAGAGTTGGAAAACCCTTATTCCAAACCAATGGTGCACATGGGCTCCAGTATCCTGAAGGAACAAGTGGCGTATGAACCTATTGTTGGTCACTGGCTACCATGAGACTGCATCTCCTTACGTTGTACCACTGCTTTGTGGATTAGACATTTAGGTCGAAGGCTCTGGGAGTGACCACCTAAGAAAACCACCTGCTTCGGTTTGGGCACCCAGGCAGTATCACAACCCACACACAAATAAAATGAAATGACACTAATGACTGGAAATACTGTTCTCTCTCCAATTAAAATTCAGGCAACTAACATCCATTTGAAAAACATGCATGTTTATTTTTATTATTTCCTTATATACTACGTCACTTATCTATTCTCTTCTATTCTCACTTGGTGTATCCTTATTTTTCAACTTATACAGCAGCTCGCCTATGGTGGAAACGCTGTTCTATCTAAACGAAATCCAGAACACCGTCATACTTATTACAGGCCAACAATCGTAGTGTTTCATGACATTAGGGCTACCTTCGATTCGTTGGACAGAACTGTTCTCTGGGATTGTCTATCGAAGAAGTGTGTGCCTCAGAAATTTATTAGCATCTCAAAAGCCCTATATGCAAACAGTTCAGATAGAGTGAAGGCATACAACTTCCCCTCTCCATTGTTCCATTCAACATTGAGGATCAGGCTAGGTTGCCTAGTCTCACCATTCCTCTTCATCTTTGCTATCGATGACGTTCTGAAAACAGCTCTGATGGATGTTAGTAAAGGTGGTGTGAATCTGTTACCTGGGAAAAATCTTCCTGACCTTGAGTATGCGAATGATATTGTCTTAATGTGCGATAATGCCCAAGCCATGCAGTCCGCACTTAATCTGTTGGCGATCAATGTCCGTAGGTACGGTATGTGCTTTGCTGCATACGTGCTGGTGGTGGCATGAGTGATGAGATCGATTCACGTATAATGTAAGCCAGAGCGGCTTATGCCAATCTGGGCCACCTTTGGCGCCTTCGTGATGTCAGTCTGGCCGTAAATGGTCGGATCTACAACGCGTCAGTGAGAGCAGTTCTGCTCTATGCTTGTGAAACCTGACCTCTCCGAGTTGAGGATGTTAGCCGACTCTCTGTGTTTGATCGTCGTTGTCTCCGAATGATTGCTGACATCCAGTGGCAACACCATGTTAGTAATGCAGACCCTGCTGTAACTTTATTTTACTTTCTTCACAAAATGGACGTAACTTCTCTAACTGAAAGAATTCTTTCTGGTTGTACTTTTGCGAACTGAACTGTTTCTCTCAATATTATATATTCCACTCTCATATATTAATTTCTGTTCGTCGTTGTTGTTGTCCTTTTATTATACGCACTTTACATTCTTTATCTCTTCAAATTCTCATCGTTATTGTGTGGCGCATATGTATCTGGTGCCCCTTTGTACCAATATTTATGTGTTCAAATAAATAAGTAGTTTGAAAGTAATAGCTCTCATTTAATCACTGTTTTTCGGTCTATGTCTTTTTTAGAAATAGAATATGGCTTCCTGATGATTATGATCCGTTAGAATTAATTAATATGCATCAAAATCTGTGCAAATTTCTGTACATTGAAACACATATACAAGATTTAAATGATCTAGAACCTGTGAGTTAAAATAGCTCATTAGTAATAGTTTCAGCTTTATCTTTGTTCTGTTGTTTCAAATGAATAATTGATTTGCATAAAATAACATCCCTCATGAATTCACAGTAAATAAATAATGCCGTGTTTTTTTCCCGCTTAACATCTAACTTGTTCCGTTCGCATAGATTATAATTTATTAATATTGTAATTGATTTATTGACAAAATGTTATTATTTATTTAAACACAAAAATTGGTACATAGAGTGACCAAAATATACATGCACCACACAAATAATTTGATTTGTGTATGGGCTAGGGTACTATCCTGGTGCTCAAATCAAAGCAGGCGGGTTTCTTAGAGAGCCACTCCCCTTTCTAAGATGCAGAGTTATACTATCAATCTAGTTCACACACTGGTTGTGTAGTTCATTTGAAAGATGTTGTTTCGTTTTAATGGATTGTAACAAGTAAATTCAAAAATTGAAATCACCTGTAATTTATAATCTGTTTTACCAGTGTTTGTCAAAAGTTCATCTTCATGTTCCTCTGTTAGTTTTTCTATAAACACATTCATTGAATTTTTATAAATTGGTTCTTTTTCATATAAACATTTTCCACTCTTATCATGTGCTCTTGTGTTGACAGAAAAAGAGTTACCTAATCGCAAAAAAATTACTTCGCCATAATAGGTATTTTATATAGCCCTGGCTAATTTAACGGAAATCCGATTAAATCAACTGGATTGTTAAAAATATTTTCATACATTAAGACCATGTTAGAAGTAAAATATTTTCAACATAAAATAATAATTTAATTTCATTTGTGATATAATGTAATACACGTGTTCAAAATCCGTGATGGACCCACCTCAATCTTCACTTGAGAACATTATCTCTAAAATTATTCAGAAATGAACATTTTGAGTTAATTTTGATCTTAGTTTTGTTGGAGACATTTTTTGGAAGCAAAATTTTCTAAACCTTAAGTTGTATGTTTAGTTTAGCAAGTTAAATTCATGTACAAGCCAGTTGGGAAATTGGTAGGTTCTGTTTTACTAAGCAAAAGTCTAAATCAAAGAATATTAAATGTTGAGTTATAATTTTAAGTTGTAAAACTAGGAAAACCCATATTTTATCATATCAACATCATTGTAAAAATTAACTGTTGAAGGAACCTAGAAACCATAGAAACAAGGTATTTAATTATCATGATTCATTACATTCAAATGTAAAATTCACATATGAACATTATTTATTAAAATAAGAGTGAATTTCTGCGACTTAAGTATCTTGCCAAAATTGAATACGACTTAATCTCATGATGTAATACACTTTAAGGCGTTCTTTTTGTATTAAATCATTTTTGTCCCTCAATAGCTCCTGTTTCGTCTGTGCACCAAGAACGTTTAGTCAGGATTATTTCTTCGTAGGACAGTTAGAATATGCCTTGGAATGTGAACATAGGATAGTTAGATAGTATTCGACAAAAATTCTTCAATGAATAATAACTATTCTATGAAGCTTTAGTAACAAGTATATGTTACTTTAGTTAACAAAAAGAAAATTCTATAGAAACTGTTGCTGATTAAAATAACCCATAGTGTCATCGAATAAGGAAAAGAGAATTCAGCAAAGAAAATTTTTCTTTTCGACGAAATCATTTACTTAAGCTGTACATTCGTATAACTATTGTTTCGTACGTTTCGATCAAGTCCTCATAAAGAAAAAGTGATTTCTGCCTCGAAGAATAATCGAAAATGAGCTAACTAACCCTAATGCTTAACTCAGTCATAATGTGAGACATAGAAAACATACTTAAAAATATGAACAGAGCAAAATGCTCTTTTTCAGTTAACTCCGACTATTTGTCGTACTTTTAAAGTACAAAAAGTGTCATTTCTCAGATAAATTTCTTGAATTTACCAAAGAATTCAAAAATAAATGACCGAATACTATGCCATAGAGTGATTATACTTTAGATACGAGTTATTCAATAATGAAATATCAGTAGATTTTCATTCTTCTGATAAGATAAAAATTCGGTTGTACTACTACTATATGTTTGTGATATTACTGAATGTTAGTCTGACTGCTGTTAAAAGGTCCATGCTATCGAGTTTGGGTTACAGAATCTTCGTAACATAGATCAGTATTAATTACAGTGGGACAGATCTACTCATTCTTTTTGACCCAATAAATTAAATGTTTCAGTATTATTACTCCACATCATTCATACACTCTGATTTAGTTCGGTTTTTTCGAACTATCTTGTATTTAATTTCTCACCACCATTGATGTTATTATTTTGATCGCTTTGTTTTTTATCCTAGTGTTTTTATTTAAATTGTGACAAGTTAACCCCATGCCCACTTTGTGCACAATCATACATTATTTATAACTAACGTCAAAACATCATGTTAGAACGTTTTATTTATGCTTATACACAACAATGATTTTTGTAAGTAATTAAATTTGTATATTTACTATAGAATAAGGTATCCGTATAGTTGTGTTTGTATTCACCGATGTTTTCATAATCTGTTGTAAATTTTTCAGATTCAATCATCAAAGCTGAATACTTATGATAATGATTTTGACAATTTATTCAAAATTGATCTGGAATCATTGGCTTGTCTCATTGTTGAATTAAGTTTATTTTCAATAGTCAATTATGTTGAAGTTAATAAATGGAGTCATGGGGAACGTGTTAATTTTGCACGTTTGCAAGCACGTTTACATTGGGATAAAATACCAAAGTAATTCATTATTTTGTTAAACTATTCTTTTTAAGTTTGTTTAAGAAATATTTTAACTGAGTTTGTTAGTATTAATGGGGCTTGATTAATTGTTTTTAGGTTTCAGGTTTTTCAAGTCTAAATTAATTACCTATTCCATAACATTGATCCTCATCTTAAAGATATGACTTATTGGCTGTGTCTTTGTTAATATATGGTTCTTAAATTTACATATAATTAAAAAAATTTACTTAATACTCCATATTTGCTATCTCCTATCTAATTCATATCATTTCATGTATGACATTATATATGACCAAATATTTGACGAAACTGTTTATTATATGATAATTTCTCTCACCATACTCTATCCACATCTATTCGGATTATTAATCTCACAATATTCGTTTGATTTGTTACCCCGATCCAAGTAATCATCAAGTGGTGGTTAGTTTGAAGCGTTGACAAACTTATTTTACTTATGATCCTGAATTTGTATTCTGTATTTTAAATAATTCTATTTGTTTAAAATCATTTCTCTTGATCAGTGATATGAACTCGTAATTGTGAGACCTGGCTTAAGAATGTTTTGAAAAGGATATTCTTCGGTCAGGCATCTGTGTGTTCTAATAGTAGTAGTTAAATTGGAGCATATTCATTTATAATTCAGTGAAGTTTTAGTATATTTTTAATGCAAGTTACAAATGTTATTAGCCTCAGTACTCATTAGGAAGTTGTAAGACATTGTTTATTGTATGTATAAGCCATAGCTCTTAGATAGACATACAGTATGAAACAACTGTAGCATATATAGTCACGTAAGATTGGGTTGTGGTGTCTTTGGCTTGATTTGGGTCGATGATGTCAACCATTGTTGCTAAGCCTTTCAGTTTCTATAACTAATTCTGTACCTAAAAGCAATTTGTTTAATCTATGAAGCAACTCGAATATCGTAATATTGATTCGTCATAATCTAGGACTGCTCTTCAATGTTTATTTCTATTTGACTGATGACTTGTAAACCTGAATTGTGAGGACCATATTATTCTGCCTTATGATTACAAAAAGCTCCTTGAATTACACCTTTACATTTGGGGTAAATACTGGTAATCCTGATTATAATTTTACCTTTATTCGACATCCTGGGTATAATACTAGAGATTTCTCAACCTCATGATTTGAAATGTTATTATGGTTCACGGTAAATCAAAGTCAGCTGTAATCCTGTTTTGTTTTTATACTGTTCTTCATAAACAATAAGATGCACGTTTAAGATAGATGAAATCAATTTGGACCATACTTTTAGTTTAAACGTCATCATTTCATGGTGTTTATTTATCTTTCCTTGAGTATTAGTTTTCTCATTATTTCATAATATTATCATTTCATTTTGTATACCATATTTCTTAATCCATACTCTACCGACTATTTTATATTATATTGATTAATACTTACGTTTGATCAGTTCATTATTATTTCCAACCCTCTTACCATAAATTCACATTGAAACCTAGTGAGAGAACGTATTTTGTCATTGGGTTTTATTACCACTTCAATCTTTATTCTTTTTGTTATACGTATTTATTTGATTTGATACATCTTTGTAAGTGCATGAATAAATACTTATTTCTATGTAACTTACTTTTATTAACCAAAATCTCCGTATAGAATAAAATGTATTGTGATTAAATGACTACTTATAAATAGTATTTGAAATGTATAAACTTTCATTTAATAATAAATTATACTTATTACTAGAATGACTCTATACGTACTTACATAAAAGACTTTTTTACTAAATTTTATCTTTAATGAATAATCTTATCTCTGATTATTATCTAATGTTTTTTTTTATCTATTCCTATAGTTGTCTTCATGATGCTGTTAATTCTGTTTTACATCCATTTGATCAAAATCTTATTGGAGAACAATTTGATGAACGTTTTTTACCAACTGTAGATATTTTTCTTCATTTAATATGCGAATTTCCACCTTATATTTTCGATTTATTATATATTCGAGATTGGGTACGTTTTTGAAGATTTCCCTTGTGACATTTTTTAAGGACTCGATATTATGTCACTCGGTATAATCCGTTTATTGATATTATTGTACTTTCAACACAACTATATGATTATAAAGGTAATATTTTCTTATTTTAATGTGTTAGAAATCGATCCATTCATAGGTTCTTTAATTGTTTTAGTACATACTGGCTGCATTATCTTTTAAATGGTAGAAGTAAGAGAATATGAGAATGTGTGAAATGTGTTTTTATCTTTCACATTCGAAAAGTTATGCACCAATACCTGTTCTGAAGACAAAGACTTTCATAATTGTATAAACTGTAGTTAGCTGATAGCTGATATAATCTGAGCAACTATTTTAAAAATGGTCATTTGGTTTTTATGTCGATTTTCACCTCCTGTGTTACTGGCCAACTATTTGAAGTGGAATACCGAGTAACTTACTAAAGAATTTATTGTATCTTGCTTTACGATTATGAAGCATTATCGCTGAAAATAAAAGCATAAAACACACCTACGTTTCAAAATGTAATCGTTTCCAAAATATTGATCTTGTATGATGGAATTGGGCGATCAAAATTTACAATCAAATGATATATAATTTTAGCGATAACCTCGGTCCTTTATTGATATTTTTTAGAATCTTATCAATTCTTCAATCATCTATTCATGGGTTATTTATAGAGTGATTTTCCTGATTGAATCATTAACTTGTAATGCAAACTGAAATTAAATGGTTTATATCAGTGTATTTTTCCTCGTAAATTTTACTTTAAGTATGTTTTGATAAGCATTTAGTTCATTCATACATAGCTTTATTTCAATTTCAACACTTAATTCATAATATTCATTGTATCTTAATTTTTTTTCCAAAACATTGGATCATATAGCTAATTAATATCGATTCCAACCAATCATTTCAACAGTTACAATCGTTCTCACCCTACATACCAAAAACATGCTTGTTTTCAGCATTTTTCCCTAGTAATCATCAAAGTGAATTGTATAATTTGGTAAATTTGTCAACTGTTCACATTCCAATTGATGTAATCAGATTACTATATCCATATATTCAATCAGCAGTGTATGCAAATCCTAATTGGTTTGTGAATATTTTAAATTCATCCAAAATGTTAGAGCTGTTTTCAACAATAGGAGGTCTTGAAGTGAGTTTTCCTTGTAGTTGTATGGTTTCACAGTTGTGTTTCAGACCTTAGTTACAATTCATGTTAGTTTCATTTATTGTATTACTGTTTTTTTCCTCACATTGATAATCCATTTTCATTGTCATTCTACTTATTTCTCAGCATTGTTGATCAACAAGGAGAATATATATTTTAAATTTTGTTGTGAATCTCACAAACTTTGATGGATATATCTTGCAATGTAACAACTGATCGTCTCTTCTGATAATTCGCATTAAATTACTTGAATAGTATTCAGTTTATCAGGGCATATTATATATGATTTCAAGTAATCTATATCATTTACACCTTATTTCGCTGTCATGCTAATAACAGCTTAAACCACTTGTATTTTGTACCAAGTCTTCCATAAGACCTTACCATACTCCATGTCACATGTACATTCTGTTAGTCGACATTCTTGAAGTATTTGGTGTAAGTGGTTCTTATATCTTACCATATTTTCATATCACGTTAATTACCAAATGACCACATAGTATTCATTTTATGGAGATACGTATTCGGGCATTTGGCTTCATGCAACATTAAGTTTCGCAGCTAATGATACAACCCAATTTCATGCATCAAGGTAGGTATAGTGGAATGTGAATCTGTGACTCGGTGGCTGGAAGTCAAACATCTTAACCACTGAGCTACTGCTCCAAATAACCACATAATGATAAAAATAGCTCCACTCAGTATTATATGTTTAGTACAATATGGAATTTCCAACATACAATATTTCAACAATTTTCTCTTAACATTTCTATTACAAAAAAGATATATACATAAATATATACGTGAAATACGTAAGTAAATTATATGGAGTTAAGTCATATAAAATTAAATGAAATATTTATCAGCAAATAAAAATTTGTACAACTGTAAATTAACAACATGTTAAACAATATAGGTTTTTGATGAGGTCAGCTTTCACGACCTGTTCGTTACATGATAAATGTGCTTAATACAGTATCGCACAAATTTTGTGTTGTGTTTGCGTACATGAATTGTAACATGTTTGCGTATCGTTCTGCCAAAAGATATACTGGAAGAACAATGTGAATAGAGCAGATGGTTAATATCTGATAAAATTAATATTTACCAGTAGTTTACAAGGTTTAAAATGTTTATCCACAATCATATTCATAATGACATCAAAAAATTCACCACAAATCCTATTAATTCTATTCATCACTCTCCACAAAATTTTCTCAAAAACCCAGAAAAAAAAATTGGGGAACAGTAAAGGATGATAGGCATCATACAAAAATTTATGAATTGTAAAAGTAAATGTCGAGTAATACCAAAACATGTGGCCTCTTTATATTATGTCAGATGTAAAACGCTTTTCGATATTAATAAAACACGAAAATACCAAGAGGGATCACAAGAAAAACTTACATCAAAATAAGTGACAGTTTCCACTATGGAATTCCCAACATTACAAACTTTATATTGTTCTAACGAGGTCATTAAGTGCTTTTCATGTCTCAAGTTGAAGTTGACAGTTTGACATTTAGAAGGCTGAAGTATGAGACCTTTAAAAATAAATTACTTTTTAATGAGCATTGAGAACTTATTCATTTCAAAGGGATTTACAGCATAAGAAACTGACATACACACAATAAGGCCATTCTCATACCTAACAAAAGTGTCATACAGAAAGGAAACAAGAAAAAGGAATATAAAAGAATAGCTCCTTGTGATACACTAGGAATAGAATACTTTCCACAAGCACAGTGTATTCTCTTTTAGAAAATTAATACAACTGCCGCTTGGTTATCTTGCTCTCGATGTTAACGCTGACAAAATTGCTTAATTATAGAGGTCATGGAATATAATTGAAGGCAGAAGTTTATTCTGGAAATGCATATCGAACGTACTTCTTACCCTTTTCCAAACTAAACACTATATTATGATGCAGGACAGCGGCAACACCCATGAGACTTCTTTCACATTAGCAAGAAAACTAATATGGATCTGAGCGCTCCTCCAGACTGAATTAAAAGTAGCAATAGTTTTTCCATCGTTTCACTTGGACAAAAAAACATGAAGGCAGAATTTAAGGTAACGGTTGATAACATCGTCGGTGTTTTCCATCAGTCATTTCTAAATAAATCCCAGTTTGTTATTGGAAACATTTTTCTCAGATCTTGGGTATTTTCATTTGAGTAGCTTCTACATTTTAATTTTCTGGCCTGATGCAAAATATATTCTTTCCAAGCTTCCCACATACTTTAGCCATAATATGAATAGTGCAATGAAACACGTTTACGAATCATATGTATTTCTACACTATTAGCAATCTAAAACTAGAGACCCATTATAATTGGTGGGGAAATCGACTAGGTTCTGATGACTTAGAGATAGAAGAAAGCTTTAATCACACGAACTGAAATCACCACATGCAATTAAAAGAAAACCGCTGAAGCTAGGGGTGGCAAGTTCAGGGAACTCATCAATTGTAACAGATAGTTCAGATGAGGTACTGTCTGGTTTCACGTAAATGTTGACAACATAAATAGAAATGCACTTGTTCATGTGTTCAAGTGGATGGTATATTAAGGATAAACAGTTGATGAATTCGTTTAAAGACCTAAAATATGTATAGTTTGGTTAAAACTAGGTCAAATTTATAAACGTAGCTACACCACAGCCACACCTTTCCTTATTTTTCGATCTATCCTGACGATAAATATATAGTGATACTAAACTATCTCCATGTAAATCATTTAACTAGGTTTTTCGAATTGCGTTTAGACCATAATTACGGTATATGTTAAGACCTAGTAGAAATCAGAGTGTGTCTTGCCCATTAGTGATCTGTATTTGGAAGCTAGCAGTTGAAGAATAGAGATCCGATTAACATATATTACCAACCTCTGTGGTTGCATTTTCTGTAATTTATGAAGCGATAGATCGTAAATTTTTTATGTACACATGGGTGTAGGTTATACAGTTTTAAGACATAATCGTAAGTTAAAACAAACAAAAAGATTTTTAAATATCTGAATGGTAGAAAAATAGGTATCATAGATGCTCAAGAAGGCCGCCAAACTACATAGGGCAAATTCATGGTATAAAGCATGTGTTAGTGATGTTGATTTTACTAATTAGCGTTCCTATTGACAAACTCACGTTTTATGTGATTCTCCGTCTCGAAGTTCCTTATTTAATTAGAACTCCCTATGTTTACGTTGTATAACCATTATATTGTTATGCATTGTCATAGATTACACAACTCAAAATAATTAATCGTTATGAGATTTTGCTCTTAATCCACTCTTTACTGCTAATTTTCGTTCACTTAAGATAATAATTGCAGTATTGTTATTCGTAAATTGCATGCACCATTATCCATCTAAATAAAGCATGTACATGGTTTTCTAATTTAAATGTGATATTACACATCCTCAATTATCCCGACTTTTAAATTTTCATTTTCTTATTGGTAACTATTTATAATGCTGAATGAAAACGGAGCTACCATTCATCAAATATGTGCGTTGACATCGTTAATCGACTGTATTCTTTAACTATTATTCTTGATTTTTCTTTGTTATTTAGTTCATACGATCACATATTCTCCCACTAATTATCTATCTATACAAACCTGAACAAATTAAACGTATGTCAAGTGATATCTCCCCGAGAATTCCTCTTGCTTTACTATATTCACGTTTATTTCTACGTCGTTTATTGGCTTATTTAAATGTGAACACATTTCTTGTACATATTTTACCTTATATAACCCTTAGTCTTATTGGTGGCAGTATAAACGCTTTATCTGATGAAAATATTGTATGGCATCAAAGAAGTTATTCTGGCCTTACAAATGAACAAATAGATTCTAAGAATTCAAATACTAACCAAAACACGCCTAAATCATTAAGTCGTAATCTAGAATTAAATGACGAATCTTTAATATATGATCAAGAAGAAAATATATCAGCACATTGCGATTTATTGTTTTATAAACAAGATGTTATGAATGTAGATGAGATTGGAATTGATCTTCGGAGTTTAATAAATGATGAAGAATTTCAATTCTTAGAAGATGCTAAAAGTTTATCTATGTTCACTTGCGTAAAGTTCAATGAAGAAGAATGTGATGTTAGTGGCAAATCGCTTAAACAGTTGTCCAAATGATGTAACATCAGCAATTTCTCTTCATTCCTCAAAGTAAGCAATTCGCATGTCATATTACCCATAACTACCTATCGTAGGTGCTGTAATAGGTGTTCTGGTAGTTGTTACTTTTCGGTTATTCATATCACTAAAAAATGCTTCCTTTGATGTATCTGAAAAGGAGGCTAACTTAGTAGTGGTGACCATAACTGCAGCACCCAAGAGACAAATGTTTAAACTTTACTACACATATTCTTTTTCCAAGTAGTTCTTGATATGTTGACTTAGTACTTTTAAGACTTTACCACAATCAATAGAAATCCATGGAGTATGTTGAGGTGTGGTATTTTCAAGGTTGACATTTTCTAACTATTTCCCACCGTTGTAATGATGCAGAATCACTGCATATGCCGGCTTTTAATCCTACTGCTCTTCAACTGACCTGTCTAGAGTGGTGGGAAGTAAAAGGATGAATGTTCCACTCAATATAACCCTACTGGGTCATCATTTTATGTAATCTTGACCGCCAAGTCAAAGTAGCAGGTATGGTGAGGTAAGTTGCCTATCCCTTGAAAAAGTAGTTGGAATATTATTACACTACATATAACATGCTAGTTTACAAAACATAAACGGTTTATGGACTAAATTGTTGAATTTCCCCTTTTCAGGGGGTATAAAATTGTTAAACACTCTTGTCGGTAGTAAATGAATCAATATTGAAACAGTAACTAAATCGAACTGTTAGTACTAACTTCATGTAAAAGTCCTGTGACAACCATAGAGGGATTAGTTTAACTAATATAGTATCTAAAATACTAGCCTCGATAATTATCAGACGCCTAACTAAGACTCGTGAACTGCAAACACGAGAGAACCAAGCTGGCTTCAGACCTGGTCGTGGCTGCATCGACCACATATTCACCATTCGTCAGATTCTAGAACACAGGCATACTTATCGGAGTCCGACAATGATGGTCTTTCTTGACTTAAAAGCAGCATTTGACTCGGTAGACCGCGAGACTCTGTGGCAGTGTCTGTCATTGAAAGGCGTACCCCAGAAGTACATAAACCTTGTAAAGGCTCTTTACTCGAACACTACAAGTCGAGTCAGAGCTTATGGTGAACTGTCATCTGCTTTTGCAACCTCAAGTGGTGTCCGTCAAAGCTGTCCACTTTCCCCGTTTTTGTTTAACTTCATCATAGATCTACTGATGGAAATAACTTTCTCGTCGACTGAATTCTCGGGTATTGACATCCTTCCAGGAGGTCCACTTATCGACTTAGAATACGCAGATGATATAGTATCGTTTGGTGAAGACGCTGACAAAATGCAGAGTCTTTTGGTAACACTAAGCAACAATGCCAGAATGTTTGGAATGCGATTTTCTCCTTCTAAATGTAAGTTGTTGCTTCAGGACTGGTCTGCGTCAACACCTGAACTCAGGATAGGGAGTGAAGTAGTCGAATGCGTTGATAACTTCACTTATCTTGGAAGTCTGATCAGCCCTATTGGGCTGGTGTCTGACGAAATCTCAGCTCAGATTCGATAAGCTCGTTTGGCTTTTGCCAACTTGCGTCACCTGTGGCGAAGGCGAGATATCCGTCTATCAATAAAAGGACGAGTATACTGCGCGGCAGTCCGTTCTGCGAAACATGGCCATTAAGAGTAGAAGACACTCGTAAGCTACTAGTTTTGACCACAGATGCCTTAGAAATATTTCTGGCATCTGCTGGGATCACCGGTAAGTAATAGTGAGGTTAGACGCAGGGTATTAGGAAATGATGGTAAATCAGTTGATGAGATTGTGAATCTTCATCGACTGAGATAGTTGGGCCACGTTTTACGTATGCCTGAATACCGATTACCACGACGTGCAATGCTAACCGTGTTCGGGATGGTTGAAAGAAAGTTAGGGGTGGCCAAACCAAAACGTGGCATCAGTGCTTGAAGTCACTAACTTCTAGTCTTAGCCATGTTGGTAGATGCAGACTACTTGGTTGGGGTCCGCGTGACTATGGTTGACAATGGTTGGAGACTCTTGGTGACATGGCTCAGAATCGGTCACAATGGCGTAGGTGTATACACTCTCTGTCTTCCCTTAAACTAAGAGATTAAAATCGCTTCATACCTTTCTTTCTACGAACTAATTCTTCCTTCCAGTACTATATCCTTATGTTCAATCTTTCTTTTATATATTACCACCTCTGAATTAACTACTTATATGAATCCGGTGTTCATCTGGTTGTGTTAATGAGGTATGACAACTTGGACCGATGCATGTATGTGCCTGGTCCTACGTTATAGCTGACTGACTGACTGAGAAGTATGTGTGAATGTCGAAAATAGACGAAAGTTATAAGGGAACATGAATTTTTTCAAGGCGACCAGAAGTATCCGTGTTGGTGAAAGAAAGCCATTTATTTACAGTTGGTCGTCTCAAGAAACTTTCTTATAAATGTTGGGGTTAAACTGAAACAGAGTATCTTTAAGTAGTTAATTTAATACTATTTATGTACTATATATAAATGTTTAACAAGGACATTTAATTTTTGACTACTACTCATGCTTTTCATTTAAAGACCTAAGTGAAAATGAAAAATAGTTCGTAAAGAACCAGTGAAATTAGAAGATGAACAGTATGAATTTGCACTGAAACCCAAGGTTTAAGTGGGCTTAAAAATATGAACCCATATTTCCTATTGTGATTAAGATCGACAAATGTTATCTGAGGTACTCAACCACAGTATATGATTATGCCCAAACGTCCGTACTTCTGAAAAATCTTTCAGAGTAAAATCCAACAATTTCACCAGCTGATGTTAGGTCATACTCATATCAACCTTAACCTTTTCTCAACCAGAATAGTTTTGTTGTGGTAGACAGTGGCAGTCCTTGCATAATACATTTCTTAACGTATAACCTCATCAAGTAATTTACTTATACTAAGTAGTGTTTGAAAAATAAGAAATTTCATAGTTTTACATATGTTCATGTAATTAATCTAGCATTTTTCATCTATCAAAATTTCTCTCTCGCTTTTTTCCTCTTATAGTTCCATTACGCATAATTGTAACGTATCACAATTGTTACATGGCAGTTTAACCGAAGATAAATCTGTTTGTGGTGAACCGAAGAAAGTTTTATTTTCAAATAAAACATCCCTTAATAATAGTAATAGTAGTAGTAATTGTTCTAATATAAGCAGCATTCCACCAATCACTGCAGCTATGGATAGTCTTGATTGGCTTTCTAGACGTATTGGTCCTGTAATGACGATTAAATATATTGTTAAGTATTTATTAACTACATTGACATTGTGCTATGAAGTGAGCAGATTTTTAATACTTTCTTACCTTTTCATTAATTTTTTTTCGTTTTACAATAACAGGTTAAAGATGTTGTTAAATTTGTACTTATAAAGATTATTTTCAGCAGATGGATATTTATCAGTATTGGGTTGTGGAGATTGTTGAGTTTTGATTGAGATCGTGGATTTTCCTATTGAAAAGGTGTAGTCATTCGAGCTTATTCGTGTCGGGTGTGAGGCAGTTACCCACCGAAGACAATGGAAGATGGTCGCGCAATATCGTGGATTAGTTGAATTTAGACATTAACGCCGTTGGATGCCGGCTCAGTAGTCTAGAGGTTATGCGTCCGCCCGTGAGACCAAAGGTCGTGCGTGCGGGGTCGTGGGTTCACACTGCTGAGGGGTCCCGTACTAGGACGAAAAGGCCGTCCAGTGCTTCCAGGTTTTCAATGATGCTTTAACATTAATGGATTTATGATTAGTAAGAAAAACCATGTACTTTGAGAGGAGAGTTTTCATAAGTGACTTGCCTATCTGGTTATTTTAGTAATCCGAAATATTTCGTTTATATCGTACTATTTTTATCATATTGTTATTATCTTTGTTCATGTTTGCACTCTTTTGTAGTGATATGAGCTATGGATATGTTGTTACAAGTATTAAATTAATCCTCCCAGCCTTTTCGAATGTCAAACAATGTATTTGCCTTAAATCTGACCGGCTTTTAGATTATTAGTTTGATTATATAATCGTAGGATCTGAACAGAACATATTGAAAAAATATTCTTCGTTCATATACCTCTTTTTAATAAAGCCATGAAGCATTCTAATTTAGACCACCAATGAGAACCTAGAAGCACTGGACCATCGTTTTCCCCAAAATATGACTCCTCAGTAGTGCGCATCCACGAACGCTTAAACCTCCAGACCACTGAATCGGGATCAAACAGTGGCAATATCTAACTTCAATCAATCCACGACATTGCATGACCATCTTCGCGACTTAAATGAAATTCAGCAATTTTCATAACCCCTTACTAAAAACTACATTCTGTAACTTTTTATCTAAGGTATTCTGAAGCGGAATTTTTAACTTAGAAAGTTGTCTTAAAGTCTATTAACATTTATTAATTATTGAAATGATGTTAAAACCAGTGACAAGTGACTTTTATTTTAATTTATATGTAAATCACATTTGACAAAGGTAAAACCAGTAATGAATTTATAGCTTCTTTCGTTAAAAAAGCACCGTTTTGATCAAGTCAGACCTCTGTTTAAATACCTTCTTAAAAGTATCATAATTACTCATACTTCTTCACTACTCTGCTAAGTGTTCTGCTTTATAGCTGAGTTTGTTCTCAAATTGTCTTTCTATTTGTATATGTGTATATATTTGTATGTAAATACACCGTCATTTTAACATTGTTCTACGTTTTTCTAATTTATTAAGGGTAAAAGTCAACTATCTGTTAATATTGTCAATAATATTTCATCTGACAAATGTTTACAGATTAATAATCGTCCATTAATTGGAGATCGTTCAGCATTTAGTGTTTTAAGATGTTTAGTACAGTTAGTACAAATTTATGGTGTATCTATTGTTATAGATATATATTTACCTTATGTTATAAAAACAATCACATCAATTATTACTAATCTTAATCCTGTATTATCAGAATGTATAAATATTAATAATTTAAATCAAACTAATAATCATTGTATAAATCCATTGGAATCTGTTACAAGTAATGAAGCAAATGTATCGACAATGTTATTCAATTTTAATTATCATTATTTAGCACGACTCGTTGGAGTTCTTACTTTATTGTATCAAATTGTTATCTATATACCGGATAATGAACTTGTTGAATTATTACAAGTAAGATATTAACTATGTATTTATATTAATAATACATTGTAATTTTATTGTTATACTGATTCTTAGTAACAGGACAATTGCGTTAGTGATTGGTATTATTGAAAATTGAACTCTTTAAAAGATTAATATATACTCTCTTGAATTAGCATTGAAGATTGTAAATATCTATTGATAAGTTATGCTAACTTATACATCACACGTGTATTCTTAATTCAGAGTAAATTTCTGTTCGGAAAGTATTAAACCAAGAAAATATTTAAAATTATTTGAAAAAAGAATTTATACTCCTTTGAAGATGTTAGTGAAGACGATGACCACATTCATTAGTCAGTCAAATACTGAGCATTATTCTATTAACATCATCAGAAGAGATTTTTATTTCTTGAGAAAACTTTTCCATCTTAACTGGTGATGTTTACTATCTATTTAAACAAGAACTTTAATTATTATTACCATACAATTTGTTATTAAAAAAATTTAGAACAATTCATCTTTCGTACGACTATCTATGCTGTAACTTGTTCTATTCTGTAAGTTTTAAGAATATTATCCATTTGTTCCTACATGGAATTACTGTGTAATCATTATAGGAGAGATGTTTGAGCATTGAATACTTACACTAGATAAACTTATTAGTTCTACTCCATTTACATTGTCTCATATATTCTAAATTGCATTCACATTAAGATAAAAGTTTTAAAAAAAGAAGTGATTATCTAATCAGCCCATAAAATTATACATACACAGTTCACTAAGATGATTCTGCTTAAGATGATGAAGATATAGTGTGCACGGTCCCACACCTAATATAATGCTATAACTTGTGACCGCCGATTAGAGGGCAGTGACTTATCAATCGGGCCAAGGACGCGTAAAACACGTGCGAGCAGCCTAGAGTTCTGATTGGTCCTGCTTTCCGCCTAACTCAGCCAGTTAAGTCCAGAACACTATATCCGAACCTCTGCAATATGAATCATTATATTTCCAACATACTGAGTTTATATACCAATCAAACAGACCACAACTTACCAATAAAATATGAAACAACATTTGTACAAGAATTAGCCAGATATGGCTGTGAATAACTTACTTACTTACTTACGCCTGTTACTCCTCGTGAAGGAGCATAGGCCACTCACCAGCATTCTCCATCCAACCCTGTCCTGGGCAATCCTTTCTAGCTCCGTCCAGTTGTAATTCATCCTTTTCATATCTGCTTCTATTATCCGACGCAATGTGTTCTTTGGCCTTCCTCTTTTTCGCCTCCCTTCAGGGTTCCAAGTTAGGGCTTGCCTCGTGATGCAGTTTGACGGTTTGCGTAATGTATGTCCTATCCATTTCCATCGTCTTTTCCTAATTTCTTCTTCAGCTGGAAGTTGCTTTGTTCTCTCCCACAGAAGGCTATTGCTGATGGTATCCGGCCAGTGGATGTTGAGTATCTTGCGTAGGCAGCTATTTATAAATACTTGTACTTTCTTGATGGTGGTTGTTGTAGTTCTCCAAGTTTCAGCTCCATACAGTAGAACTGCCTTGACGTTCGTATTGAAGATTCTCACTTTGATATTGGTTGAAAGTTGTTTTGAGTTCCATATGTTCTTCAATTGTAGGAATGCGACCCTTGCTTTGCCGATCCTCGCCTTTACGTCTGCATCTGAACCTCCTTGTTCATCGATGATGCTTCCTAGGTATGTGAAGGACTCTACATCTTCCAGAGTTTCGCCATCAAGAGTGATTTGATTGCTGTTCTGCGTGTTGAATTTGAGGATCTTGGTTTTCCCTTTGTGTATGCTGAGGCCTACTGATGCAGAGACTGCTGCTACACTGGCTGTCTTCATCTGCATCTGTTCGTGTGTACGTGATAGGAGGGCTAGGTCGTCTGCGAAGTCCAAATCGTCTAATTGATTCTGAGTTGTCCATTGTATTCCGTGTTTTCCTTCAGATGTCGAGGTCTTCATAATCCAGTCGACCACCAGAAGAAAGAGGAAGGGAGAGAGTAAACAGCCTTGTCTGACTCCAGTCCTTACTTGGAATGCATCTGTCAGCTGTCCTCCATGCACTACTTTGCACTGTAGTCCGTCGTATGAGTTCCGGATAATGTTGACAATCTTCTCAGGAACTCCGTAGTGTCGAAGAAGTTTCCATAATGTCCTCCTATCTACACTGTCGAATGCCTTTTCATAATCAATGAAGTTGATGTATAGTGATGAGTTCCACTCCACTGATTGTTCGACGATGGTCCGTAGTGTTGCAATTTGGTCTGTGCACGACCGATCCTTACGGAATCCAGCTTGTTGATCTCGAAGTTGGGCGTCTACTGCATCCTTCATACGGTTCAGCAACAGGCTGTGAATAAGGGGGGTAGTAATTAATATACTGGGTATAACTCAAGAATGGTAAAACGTATAATAATAGTTTATGAGTCATAATAAAGCTTATGATAAGAGGAATATGAATATGCATAGTTTAGTTACTTAATAACTATACAATAGAAATATACGCTTCGTATTGGTCCATCAATAGATCCCAAAAGTGACCATTCATTATTCTTGTCGGGACATAACATATAATATTAACCAAATGCTTGTACTATATTAATTATGGTCATAACGCTCCAATTAGGGTTTTATCAAAATGAGAAGATACAAAACTTCAGTTTTTACGTAACACGGCATGTTATAAATAAGGGAGATCAATTTGTTTACTGAGGGTGTTTTAATGTTTCAGCAAAAAATATTCTTATTATACAGCACATCTATTTGTAGACTTGGTCGTTTTTCTTGTAAAACAAAAAACAAATGTAAATTAACCAGTAATTAAAAGGAACAATATGAGGGAATGTAATGCAGTACACTATGTTGCTAAAAAATGGGTGTTCAATTTGTTAAATTAAAGAAAGAGAACAGTTTTCAAGCATTGTCAACAGGCTATCACTTTAGACTTAGTTTGTCCATTACATTTACAGACTAATTAAATTCATTTAGTGTAGAATAATGCCAATAATAATACTTTTTTATGTTTAAACAAAAATACTGTGTTCTTATATGAGGATGTTCAACATTTAATTATGCTTCTTTCGAAAAGCTATCAAATATTGTTTTTTAAAAATAAACAGACAGAATTTATTAGCAGAACGTATGATGTTACACTAATTCAAGTTGTTTGAATGAATCACCATATTAACTACTATTTATTTATATAGTCTGTACTATCACACCAAATATTTCAATCGTATTATTTCTAACTACATATATTGTCGTACAAGACAAGTATACAAGGGTATTTAATTATTTGCTTTTTTATTATCTAACTAGGTTGACCATTACATGTCGCGTATTTATCTCAATTTGTTTAAAATTTCAATTTATTACAGTGTAATCAAGATATATTGTTTAACACAACACCTTTACTAGTTACATGTTTACTGTTTTATATAGTTTTCTCCTTTATCTATTTGTTATATCTAACAAAAAGAACCTAAATTTAGTTAAATATCTGTGCGATTTTTTCCAAGAAATAAATATAAAAAAACATGCTCACTAGTAACTGGCTTTAAGAGGTATTTCCTGGAGTTCTAGTAAGAAGCAGTGATCAGTAGAGTTCGACCGGATCTGTTGTGAGATAGTAACTCACTGAAGACAATAGTGGATGTGTCACTCAATTTAGTGGATTAGTTGAAGTTAAAGATTAACACCGTTGGATGCCGGCTCAGTGGTCTAGAGGTTGTGTTCGCGCGCAAGACCAATAGGTCCTGGGCTCGAATCTCGCAGGGTGGGATTGTGCATGCGCGATGCTTAGGGAGTCCCACAATAAGACGAAACGACCGTCCAGTGCTCTCAGGTTTTCCATGGTGGCTTAGCTTCGATTGACTCATGATCTCAACTATTAAAAATACGTTTTTTTTAGATTGCTCCTATTTTCGTAGCAAGTAGTGTATTAAGAAACGAGAATATGCGATATAATGTTTGTATTTATGTATTAAACGAAATATTGGATAAATAAGTTTCAACGTGCTTAGTTGTAATGTAGATAGATGATGTAGATTGTAATTATAAGATCAATATTATTATCAATATTATCGCATGATATATACCAGTTAAGCAAGTTTTGTATGTATTTGTTATTATAAACTTCTAAGGTATTTTTTTACTCTGAGATTTTGATATTTATGCTACTTATGTTAGTTTGTTCAGAATCAAAAATCATATTGTACTCACTGTATGGATATACTAACCTTCGTCATTTATAAACATACACCAATATATTTTCAAAGATTATGTGGACTGTGAAGGAGGTGTACTTTTTACAAATTTGTCACAAGTACAATATAGTCGAACCACTAATGTACTTAATAAACCTCATTCTGGTCGTAAACCAATGTTTATTTCTCAAAACGGATATTATTTCTCTCAGATTACATTACACGTAGAATTAAAACTGAAAAGTCACAAACAGATTCATATAACAGGCGTATTTATCTTCTAGTAAACCCTAAATCGTGTTAGCTTATTTGTGATTTAAAATGGAATCATCAAATTACATACATAAATACAATCAAATCATCTGTGTCAAATACAATAATAAGATACTCCTTAAATGAGTACAGAATCCATGCCAAATTACAGGGATGATCAGGTTTATGTTAATTTTTTGAAAAATATGATTCCTAGGTTAGTTCGAACTAAGAACTTGGGAAAAAAAATGATAAGAATATGGAATAATGAATTGTGTGCGGCGTCCATTGATCTAAATCATATCATTTTACTATACACTTGTATTGATTATATACACTTTATAAAACAAATAAATTCAAAAACTATATAGAAGTCTTACCATTAGTATACAAACTGATACCAAGTACAGAAATCGTAAAAAGTAGGCAGAAGTGAATCATTATGAGTTTTAATTTAGAAAATGCTACATATTTTCCATGAAAAGGGCATTGAATAATCTGGATATGTGAAAAAAAGTGTCCAAAGTAAACAAAAGAGATGACAAAAAATGGATTTTATGTTAAGGAGCTCTTTTAGCCGTAGAAAATGAAATGGAGATTCTCACTACTTAATTCACTTGTATTGGTTGTTTAATTCTTCTTATTGATGTATAGGACTGCGATTAATCAGTTTCTTTTGGCATATATACATTGTGTGCCAATCCCCTCGATATTCTCATTCAGTAACAAGCATTATATACAGAAATCCTTTGTGACCAGCAGTGGAATTCAGCATGTGCCTTTCACCCTATTTGGGACTTATCAGCCGGATGTACCTGCATCGCATTATTTAACTTGTCTTTTGTTCTTTGATTGAGAGTTTAATGTTATGGTAAATCGGTAAACTGCTCTTAAAAAGATGTTTTTTTTCTGTGTTTTTAGGAATCCATTATACAAGACATTCTTATTAAAGCAGTTCAAATGTCTGGTCGTTTAGATATTAGTTTTCCCGGTGGTGTTATTGGACGTCGTGCTGTTCTATATAAATTTATTAATGTTGTCTATATAATTGGTTTAAGAGTTGGTTTTGAATTGACACGTACTCAACTAACATCAATATTTCAAGTATTTTTCGCACTTTTCGATCGTGTTATCAATACTGCTGCTACAAAATGCATTTTAAAAGGTAAGTGGTCTATGTCTAACGTGTGTATTCTTTATTTCATGGTGTACATCGCGGAATGACCTCAATAAAACAACAGATGGTAACCAGAAATCACTGGTTAGTATGTTGATCCTCAGCAGTACACACATGAACTTACCTGCGGTCGATTCTAGGACACTCAGCTCTCTGCAGCGAATGTTTAATATTTTAACCATTGAGTCAACATTCTACGTTTTACACATCGAACTTCAATCAATCCCTAATATTTTGCAACTACTTTCCAATTTCATTGGTGAGTAGCTGCCTCGCACCTGACATGAATGAATTCCACCGGACTTAACTTTATTATAGAACTCCGGGAATCACCTAAACATTGCTCACTTTTGTGGACATGACTACTATGACTATGGATGGTTTGTAAAGATTAGTGGATTTCACAATTCACACCACGGACTGACATTGACTAGATAATTCATACTAGAATGAAACAGTTATCGTTTACTTCATGATTTTCAGTAATTGTCTGACTAATATTAATCTGTAATGTAAACTATGAAGTCAGTAACTTCGGCAAAGCTCCTATAGTAATACTCCTTATTTATCAAATAATATTTGGGGTATAGTTAATTCCTAATATAAATTCATTAAATTAACATAATTACATTTCATTCAGGTATAACGATTACTGGGTGAAATGTCTGTTGTAATCTCCCGAACTATTGTTTCGTCAATACAGACAATATATCAAAGTCTTTTTCGTTGAGTTGTAGCATTAGATCTCACGCTGGGACCCAAAATCAAGGTCTCCAACTACTATTCTTAATTCTTGAATAGATTGATCGATCGGGCTGTATATGATTGCTGATACATACCTTAGTGTTGTTTTACGAAAGGGGATTGTAGTTTATATTTACCAATTACCATACCAATTTTATAGAAAAACGTGATATCTGTAAAATGAGAAATTTTAACTAGTTGTATATATATCTACATAAAACTAATTCAATAATATTTACATGTGTGCAGTTTTGTTCACACTTAACAAATCATTTTATTTAGCCAAAATTAGTTCTAAATTATGTTTTCTTTTTAGACAATTGCTTATTTGATGGTAATAATAATGATAAATTTCAACAACGTTGTGTTGATGATCCAGAACTACAGTTCACAGCAACATCTCAAATAACAAATGTAGAAGAGATTGCACAAAAGGCAAATCTAACTAATGTCTTTACTGAATTAATTGAAACATTCGATTGTGATCTCGCTCGACTGGCATATATTTCATTTTGTCATCTCGCTGGTACGTCTAATTTTTTCTTAATAATGTAAAATAAATATTAATCCCTCTGTAATTCTGCCTTCTTATCCGCACTTTGAATCATAGTGTTTTGTTTAAACATGTTACTTGCCTAAATATATTGCTGGCGACATTTTGATTTCTTATTGTTGTATTGCCTGGTATAATTATTTAATCAATAGTAGTTGTATGGAATATACTTCATTACTGTCACTTAATGGAGTTGACCTTTAACTACTAAACTATAGACTTACAAATATTCAACCCCTAGATGAATTCATGTGGTTGTAATTTAGTCTGTTACTAATTTTGCTTTTACTAACAGAAGGATTTCGATTAAATTTAATAAACTTATAATATCATGCAAATCAAAGCAATACAAGTTAATAATATATTGTACATCGTTATTATATACATTGAGATAGTTTTTGTGTTTAGGGTGACCATAGTATATGGCTTGTCTGATTGTGTATTAGAAGATCAAAGAAACAATCTACAACTTAATACTGTTTTGTTTTACATGAAAAATAATTTTTGTACCCTATGGAGTTTATTATACTCGGCACTTTTTATTTGATTAAAATATATTCAGCTAAATGTAATTTATCTAAGCTACGATGAATTTTTCTGCAATGATATATACATGTAAACACAGATATTTTGCAATAACGATTATAATCAGTTTTTTCTTGCTTGAATTTTCAATGGACTACCAAGGATTTGTCATCCTTGAACTGCAAAACAATATAGTTGTTAATTAATATATTTTTCATCGTCGATAGTAATAATTTATTTTAGCTAGTGAAGATTAATAAGTTGATAATGAAGATGACAGATAATTTCCAGCGAAGAGATATCTTTTCAACGAATTTATTATCTAGCTGAACAATCGTATATATATGAAAAAGTACTGACTCCGTGAAGAAATGTGAACACAATTAACCAAGATGACGTAATAGAAAGATTATAATACTAGATTACGTAATACGAATTATAACAATAGATTTAGTGAATATAATAAGATGATTAAAATGTTTTTGTTATAATAATTAAAGGTCATAGAAATGTAGAAATAAATAAGGTGATATGATGAGCACTTACGAATAAAACAATGAGAATATAAGACATAAGTAAAGGGGGGAATGCAGTAATAATAATAATAATAATAGGATAATCAAAATAATTAAGGCCAAGGTAACGATAAGACGTACTTCTTTTGTACGCATAGTTCTGGTTTAAGCTCCTGGATGGTAAGAGCTGCGGCTATTTTTAAGAGTTGGATACGAAGAAATCTGGGTAGATTTGAACGAATCATATAAACACCCTTAAAATGAAATTATGGATCTGTAGAATGGTTACAGTCGATTAGGTGTTCAAGTATAGAACTCCTAACTGCTTTCCTTTCAGCCCTGTAGAACCAAGCTGGAATATGTTCCCGTATCCGAATTGAAAGCGAGCGCTGGGTACGGCCAATGTACTTTGCTCCACAAGAGCAGGTGAACTGATAGATGCACATAGAGGCGACCAGACTCGGAAACTTATCTTTTATGGATACAGAAAATAAGTCCCTACTAGTGAAGGTTATTCGCAGTTTAGCCGCGTTAAATGTTCTTCTAATCGTTGTTGTTAGACGATTTTTGATTACGTCTGATGTTCGATCACCTTTAAATTCCAGACTTATATAAAGGTCTTTCTTCGCGACGGAACAACTAGATTTCTTGTCGCAACTACTTCTATTCATATTATTTTCGATGAAACGTTCTGCGTAACCATTTTTCGTCAAGGTTTTTTTTTGAGGAATGAGAGTTCTTCGTTAATGCATTCCGTACTGCATATGTGATGTATTTCGATAACATAAAGAATGGATGAGGTTTCTCTTTCTACCTAACGGAACCCAGCTATAGAAGTTGGTTAGCTCTCAATTCCATGTTTGTTTTCTAAAGATGGATGTCTTTAAAGAACCATTACTCCTTCTCATCAGAAGTACATCGAGAAAAGGAATTGATTGGTCTCGTTCCCTTTCTAACGTGAAGTCTATGGAAGGGTGGCATGAGTTAAGGGTGTGTAAAATATCATCTAAATCAATATTATCATCACAAACGGCAAACGTGTCGTCCATGTATCTTACGTACAGGTGAAATCGATTGATCATTGAACTTAGTTGGTCGTCTTCTAGTTTTGCCATGAAACAGTATGCTGAAATTGGACCCAATGGAGACCCCATTGCAATCCCATTCCTTTGTTTATATATTTCATTATTGAAACTGAACTGGACATTAAAAGTACAGCGTAACAATAGTTCTTTCAAGTGTTCAGTCGGCAAACCTAGATCTATGTTGTTAGAATCAATATACTCACATATATAACATACCGTTTCGAATAAAGGTACGCTAGTGAACAAAGAGTTAACGTCAAGCGTACTTTTACAAAAAACAAAAAAAATTTTCATATATATACGACTGTACAGCTTGATAATAAATTCGTTGAAAAGAGATAATAATGTTCATGAACAAATCGTTCCTTGAATAATAATTAGTAATATTTTGTTTAATTTTATAATTTTACCAGCATATATAAAATCAACTTTAAAGCTTTTAAGTATTTTAACCTGAGATATGGTAGTTTCTATAGTCACATAATGAACAATGGAGATTTGTAACAGCCATACTTTGTATCTACTTGTTTTACTTACTTATTTGCCTGTTAACCTTCATGGTAGATCATAGGCCGCCCACCAGGATTCTCAATTGAACTCTGTCCTGGGTAATCCTTTTCAGTTGATATTCATCTTTTTGATATCTGTTTGCTTCTATTTTTTATAGCAAAATATTTTGTTTCTATCCAGTTTTATAAATGTTTTAAATGATTCATACTGTTAAAAATTCTATATGATTTTTATCATTGAAAAATTTGAGTAAAGCAAGGACTATAAACGTAGCAGAATAACATGAATCATATTTTGTATACACTTTCTTAGCAGTTCATAACCTCCAAACATAATCGTATTAGTGGTGAGACTAGAATTTATGGACGTCCTTTGAGCAACGCTGAAGTGACCTTGAAAATGTCCACCTACTCACTAGCACCTATTACGGGTTATAATGCATTGTGAGGAATCAGAATTATGATTTACACTTGATGATCAGGCTTAGGAACTAGATTTAAGGTTTTCATCATTACCTGACACTAACTAGAATGCCAAAACGCTATTTTGCAAAACGGATGAATGAATTTCGCGCCAAAATCCAAGACCTGGTATCTTATATCTGATTGGTTCATTCATAAATTATAGTCTCGCTAGTTTTTTTAGTTCTGAAATATTTATATATTTAATCGATTAATATTCACATTATTTAAAAAATGGCCATCTCATATCGTTTTTCTGTACTTATTACTCTTTTCATTAATCTTCACTGATAAGGACCTTGTCAGTATCATAAAAGTATGTACGCCGATTCTTAATGATTAATACTATTATGCTTAGAAGTTTTGACAGCTGATGAAAAACCGTGAAATAAAATGTATTCATGTCATTCTACTATGTTCATTGTTTTTCCTATACTTAAATTTAAATTATCGAACACCTTAGATGATCACTTTTAATTTAGTTACTTAAGTAGTGGTAGTGATCTTTACAAAATGATACAGAGCATAAGGTTGATTCGATTTTTGAAGTGGTATTTTCTCTTCAGGAATCACACATTAGACTGAAAGGCATTCATTTGATGTAAATTATATTTAATAAAAACTCGAGAACATTTGGAAAATTATTGTTATTATTATTAATACACTGTATTAATTTCTTTTTGTAGGTGGCACATTTATTGATGATTGTTTATACAATACACAATCTATTCAAAAATTAATTAATCAACTGCTATCTAACGAATCAAATGATACACTGAGACAATCGTGTTCTGGTGAATCTAATAAAACAACAATCATTTCTAACGATGCTGCTGTTAACGTTCAAGATGTTCAATTGTCAAATTGTACTAAAATTGATTTTGAAGCTACTTTAGTAAGTGAATTACAAATTTATTTATTTTGAATGGGTTTACTTTCTATCTGTGGTCTCCTATACACGATAATTCAATCATTTTCCTTTCGACTTATTTGAGTAGTGAAGTAAGGTGTATCTGTTATTTATGTAAGTGTAAAAGTAAAATATGACCATTAATTTTTATGAATTATTAAAGCATTTCTATACAGAAAAATAATGAACAAAGTATAATATCATATTTTTTGTTGGCTTAAATTTATCATCTCACTCTACACTAAACATCACCATCATGAATTTTTCTTATTTTCAGTGAAAATTTATGAAGATTGCTAGTACTGAATGGATGATTTATATCGTTATTTTCAAGGTCTTGTTAATGAAAAATATGATAGATATGAAGATATAACAAAAGTTATTTATTCCACTTAGCCATGATTTATGCGCTTTCTATTAGGTAGTTATTTGATCTTTTTCTTCCGTAATTTCTGCTAACGGAAACAAGTAATCTGCAGTAGAGTACAGCGAAGATGCCTAATATCAATCTCTTCGATACTTTTGGTGTTCAAGGCGTCCAATTTTCCATTATGACGTTGGATTTTCGTACCATACTCCATGTACATCGGTTTGAAAACTCACTTAAAATTAGTAACCCTCACACAGAATGTATGACTAAAAACTGAGCATACGAATCTGAGACAAAAACACGATAAGTATGAGTTGTAGGTTAAAGATTTATACTTCTCGTTCATATGGAATATGATGAAAGCACCATGTGATTAAAGCTAGTGTGAAGTGTAAATAAATTAGTCTATATTCAAGATTTATGAAATTCATAACCTTGTAGCTCTGTGATAACGCAATCTGTTATTGCTAATCTTTCACGTATGCAGAATTTGATTATTCGGGAGATTTATCAAATTTGTCGGTAACATTATGTATCAATATGTTTTTTATGTGTTTATTAATCAAATATACTTCATTCCTATCCGGGTATAATGTCTATGTAAGGAGTGTTTTTTTTTTCAGTGATGTTTTTATTCTTTGAGCATAAACCTCATTTTGATCCACTACGTTTTCACAATCATTGAAACAGATAGAAGTTTAAAATCGGATAGTTTCTTGTGTGGTTTTATTATCTTCGTCACAAAGATACTACCTACTTGAAGGCATTGATTTTATAATATTCCTTGTTGTATACAGGGAAAGTTGTTTGTTGATTATCTCCTGTCATTTCATGATGAGAATAACACTAAAAGTATCCGCTTTGTTTTCATTACATTTTGTTAGTTGGCTGTGTAACTTACACTGGCTAATGATTACGTTTAAATAAAAGTATATCAATAATTGTATCAAAATACATGTTTCCAAAAATTGCTTCGTTCGTAGATATAAATCCTATTTTGAATACATCAAGTACCGAAAAATAATTTTTATGTTTCGATAAAAAAAAGTCGTTCCGAAGATATTTTTTAGACAAGAAGAACCCTATGTATCAGGTATTTTATCAAAAAGAAGTCAGTGTTATGTTATTCTGCGAAAGTATCTACTAGAGAATGTTTAGATAATATGTGGAAAAGTTTAATGCGATCATCATGTGAATACACATATACAATACGTTTTTATCAACTTCCTCGCTCGCTTCCATTGGTTTCAAAAATAACTGCTTAGGATTTTTACATATCAATGATAAGTTAGTCATTTATAATAAACACACAAATCTGCGTTAGTCCATGTCACCACACAACATCAGCACGATGTGATGAAATTAGCAAGGTTGAAATAGTTGTAGTCACGGTGATGATGAGAAACACTAGGCATTGCTAATACGACTTGAGAAGACGGAATGCAGAGCTGTGTTTGAACAAATACTCGAATTCAAAACCTAAATTAAGATAAACGGTGAATGCAACAGCTCTGTTGTAACCGATTCTAAGACATATCACCTAATATCTTCAACCGTTAATCGCAATTATTGCGTGGACTGTAAGCAATTTGTTTGTATCTGTTAACATGCCTCAGATCAATAGCAATTGATTCTATGGAATGATAAGTGTCTTCTTGTTTTCCATTTATCTCATCATTTATTCGACATGCTTTGTTGTTTTATTCCCATAAATTTATTTTTGCTTGTTGCTTAAATAAGCTTCGCTTTCAACTTGTCATCGATGGAGGTAAATAGTTGCTTCGACGAATATTTACTATTCTCTTGTTAGTTCTGTTGATAAAAGAGCTATCAAAAACTTTTTTGAGACATTACTTTTTGTCCAAAATACATTTTTATTAGGATCATGGTTAAATTTAATGTGTAATATAAACAAGGAATCATTTCCACTTTTAAAAGTAACAATTATTTGGTTTGAATATTTCCACTCAAAACAATGACATAAATTCTTTGTACCACAATACCTGGTTGCAAGCCTACTATACCTGATTTAATTAATTAATATTTCAGTTTGCTAGTTCATCATTGTGTAACGACTGCAATTTTCATTTGCGTGGTGCTTGGCGTCAAGTTATTTATGAAGTCCTTGGGACTAGCTCCAACCAGTCAGCTTCCCTTCCAAAGTATCATGGTATACAAGTGGCTGCATTCACAGGTAACTTTATATCATATGTATTCAGTCTCAATAATGACAGTTTATATGATATACCATAGACATGTCACGCAAATGAAACATTCTACTGAATGCCCAAAGACTATCGCCTGTATCATTGTATCTATAATACAAAATATGAGGCAGATAATCTTGCGCTGAGTAACTGGTTCAAGCCTGACAGTTAATATATCTGTTAAATAGTTCTGACAGTGTGAATTGTAGAGAAAAATTATATATATCATCAAAAACGACAGTTTTTATCTCTCTGTCTATTTCAGATTTTCAAATATTGTAAAGGAAACATTGGACACCAGATTTATAGTAGTTTGGTTTCCATCATGTGTGCATGACTGGAATCTGCATACGAACTTCTGTAATTCTCGTCGTTGTTAACTTCTTTAAAAACTATGGTGATCGAAATATTAACTTATTTGACGATCTTCCTAACGTATCAGCCACTACTTGAAAATACGACATCTTTTTCTTTAATGAAGCATCTATGTAACTTGTTGAGCTCAGATTTTTCGTTCTCAACTTTGAAGTTCAAACTATTCATGTGTAAACTAGTGACGGTAACTAACTGTCAAACTTGAAATACTTATTTACTCACGCCTGTTACACCTCATGGAGGAGCATAGGCCGGTCACCAGCATTCTCCATCCAACTCTGTCCTGGGCTATTCTTTCCAGTTGCTATTCATTCTTTTCATGTCTACCTCCTATTCCCAACTCAGTGTGTTCTTTAGTCTTCCTCTTTTACGTTTCCCTTCGAGATTTCCAAATCAGCGTTTGCCTCATGATGCAGTTTGATAATTCCAATATGTCCTGCCCACTTCCAGCGTCTTTTTCTCGTATCCTTCTCAGCTTGGAGTTGGTTTGTTTTCTACCACAGTAGGCTGTTGCTGATGGTATCCGGCCAACAGAAATCGATTATCTTGCCTAGAAAATTGTTTATAAACACTTGTATCTTTTTGATGGTAGTTGTAGTACTTCTCCAAGTTTCAACTGCGTACAGCAGAACTGTCTTGACGTTCGTATTAAAGACATTGGTTGACAGTTGTTTTGAGTTTCATATGTTCTTCAACTATAGGAATGCTGCCCTTACTTTCTCAATCCTCGCCTATACGTCTGCATTGGATCCTCCACGTTCATCGATGATGCCTACTGATGCAGAGGCTGCTGCTACACTTTGTCTTGACCCGCACTTGTTAGTGTGTATGGGATGATGTTGACTATTTTCTCAGGTACATCATAGTGTTGAAGAAGTTTCCATAAGGTTCTCTTATCCACATTGTCGAACTCTTTCTCATAGTCAAGGAAGTCGATGTAAGGTGACGAGTTGTTGAATGACGATCCGTAGTGTTGTAATTTAGTCTGTGCACGACCGATCTCTACGGAATCCAGCCTGTTAGTCTTGGAGTTGGGAGTCTACTGTGTCCTTCATCCGGTTCAGCAACAATTTGTTGAAAACCTTTCCTGGTGTAGTGAACAAGAACACCAGTGGGGACAATCGAATGTGTTTAACACAAAATTACAGGACTTGTTAATAAAATCTAACAATCATAAAGTAAATGCTTAATTTGCAAAATGTTCACCATTTGTCTCAAAATGACTCAGACTTCATTGTTCTTGCATTTTCATGCAAATCGCATCCTGTTTCCATTCTTTACTGTTCGATCCTCTTGTCTCTCTGCTGCCAGACCTTCTGTTCATGACTAACATCATATACTACTTATGTCAATATAAGTAGCACACACCACACTGGTACTGACAGTAGTGTGATTCCTCTGTAGTTCTCACGTTGGCTCAGATGTTTCTTTGGTATATTGATGAGGTGTCCTTCTTTTCAGTCTGTCGACACTTGTTCTTCCTCCTAAATCTTTCTGAAAAGAAAGTGGAGCATGTTTACAGTTGCTTCTATGTCTGACTTCAAGACTTCAGCCATTATATTTTCAGGTCCTGTCGCTTTCTCACTCTTGATTTATCTGATGACCATGTTGATTTCTCCGTTCGTTAGTGAAGTGACATTTATAGGAAGATCTATAGGTGTTGCTTTAATGTCCAATGGACTCGATGGAGCAGGTCTATACAAAAGTTCATCAAAGCGTTCTCCCTATCTGTACCTCTGTCCATGAATCTCAATGATTGGCTTGCCTTGTTTCATATTTCCTTCCCTTGCAGCTTTTTCCGTGTATTTCTGCTTGTCGATTTTAACGCTCTTCAATTGCTTGTTTGCTTCTGTGTACTCAGCTTGTGCTTTGACTTTCTCTGCTCGTGTTCGGCTGTTGTTAATTGCTGTCTTCTTGTTCTTCCTTTCTCTGATCTTGTCCAGTGTTTCTATAGCGATCCATTCTTTACGATGGTGCTTCTTTAGACCCGGAACCTCTTGACACGTTGAAGTTAATACTTCTTTGATATTTTTCCATTTGTCCTCTATAGTAGATTCTTCTTCCTTCAGTAGATCGTGTAAGGCTTGGAACTTGGTGTTGAGAGTTATCTTGAATTCGTTGAGTTTGTTAGTATCTCGAAGGAAGGCTGTATTGAACCTTTGTAGTGCTGCTTGTCCATTTGTCCAGTTCTTGTTTAGCTTCAGTTTTAAATTGGCCACAACTAGATGGTGATCTGAAGGTATATCAGCTCCTCTCCTGGTTCTCACATCTTCCATTGTCCTTCGGAAGGTTTTATTGATAAAAATATGACCTATCTGGTTCTGTGTGGTGTGGTCCGGTGAGATCCATGTAGCTTTGTGTATACGTTTGTGTGAAAATATTGTGCCACCTATGACCAATTTGTTGAATGCACACAGATTTACAAATCTTTCCCTATTTTCGTTTCTCTCTCCCAGTCCATGTCGTCCCATGATATCTTCATATCCGGTGTTGTCTGTTCCGACTTTGACATTTAGATCTCCCATCAGAATGGTGAGGTCCTTTCTTGGGCACTTCAATATGATTGATTGCAGCCTCTCATAGAATTGATCTCTAATGTCGTTGTTGCTATGATTGGTGGGTGCATAACATTGGATAACAGTCATCGTTATTCCCTCCTTCTTTATTTCTAATGGTGCTTTTATGATTCTGGATTCATGAGATTCCCATCCTACAAGTGCATTCCGTACTTCTTTGCACAGCAACAAACAAATCCCCGAGTATGCGCCGCATTTTTCACTTCGTGACCGAAGTACAGTAGCATCTTTCCCAGGGCAGAGTTTAAATGGTTTAAACTGTTTATTCTGGTTAGCGTTTTTTTGGGCAAGATTGTTTTCTGTGGATATGGTTGTCGATCCCATGCTCAACCTTTCTTCTTTCAGTGGCAGTACCCCAAGAAGAGCTATAGGCGAAGTTCAAACTTGAAATAGATGTTGCGGTATTTGAAACAAGCAATTTGAGTCTTTTAAGACACCGCCCAATTTTTTAAAGTTATCACATCTTATTCTAGTCTTCATTCATTTTAATTAGAATTAAACTATATATTGCTTTCAACATATTGTTTTGTAAAATGGGACGTTTACAATCGAGTTTCCAGTTTAATTCCTTCTGTCTCTAGTGTACATTACAAACCTTAAACAGCAAACAATGTTGTGTGAAATTGAATTTATGTATTTTGCTCAGGATATATTAATAATGTGGCAATTCGATAGGTTTTGAGTGAACTATACCTCTATTTACCAACAACATCCAAAAGGCTTACTGTTGAATAGATCTTTTTTCTAAAATTAATTATTTTCTACTAGGATTTACTCTCATTTTATTATGAATAATGTTAAATACCAGTTTCTTATTAGTCTTCGATTATATGTAGGCGGTTTTTTTTTCGAAAAAATAACTTTTATTTTCTAGGCCATATTAACAAAATCAATTGTATCACGCATTTAAATACTGAAAATTGTTTCATTACAACAAGTCGTGATAAAACAGTTCAGTTATGGTCATTAACTGATACTTATAATTCTGATCAACATTCTGTATCCATCAATCATAAAATAACTAATAATAATAATGTGAATAATTCAAATAAAAGTCTACCTATTGATTCAAGTAATCATGTAGTTGCTCGTCTAGTATACAGAGCACATAGAAAATCTGTAATTGCTGCGCATTATCTGGAACCTTATCGATTAGTGGCTTCTGTTGATAGTTGTCTAATCTTCTGGGATCCATGGATGGGAAAAACAGTATGTTTCATCATTATTCTTTTATAAAACAAAAATATATGACCTCAGAGTTCTTTTTCTAAAAAATATGCTAAAAATGTGTACGTATAATTATACTTTTTGTTCATCCTTGTGATTTAGCCAGTTACGTTTAAACATCATATATATTTAAATTACATTTTGTAAGTAGACACCTTATCTCAACTTGAAACTATATTCTATCAGTATACCACTCGCAAAAGAGAAGGCACCTGGTAGTTGTAGACGATATAGCTTAATTCAAAATTAATCTCACTTATCAGCATCGTGGTCATCGAAATGATATTCACACTAAGTGATTGGTCCTTATTGTTTTATGTCAGCGTTTGCTATAGTCAGTCAGTCAGCTACAACGTAGGACCAGGTACATATGTGCATCGGTCCAGGTTGCCATACCGCATCAGCACAAGATGAACACCGGATTCATAGCAGTGGTTAGGTCAAAGGTGGTAATATATAAGAGAAAGATTGCATATAGAGATATAGTACAAGAAGAAAGAATTGGTTCGTAGAAAGGAAGATATGAAGTGATTTTAATCTCTTAGTTTAAGGGAAGACAGGGAGTGTATACACCATAACCTCATCAACTGACTTACCATCATTTCCTAATACCCTGCGTCTAACCTCACTATTACTTACCCGGTGATCCCAGCAGATGCCAGCAATATTTCTAAGTGATCTGTGGTCAAATACTAATAGCTTACGAGTGTCTTCTACTCTTAATGGCCATGTTTCGCTGCCGTAAAGTAAAACAGAACGGACTGCCGCGCAGTATACTCGTCCTTTTATTGATAGACGGATATCTCGCCTTCGCCACAGGTGACGCAAGTTGGCAAAAGCCAAACGAGCTTATCGAATCTGAGCTGAGATTTCGTCAGACACCAGCCCAATAGGGCTGATCAGACTTCCAAGATAAGTGAAGTTGTCAACGCATTCGACTACTTCACTCCCTATCCTTAGTTCAGGTGTTGACGCAGACCAGTCCTGAAGCAACAACTTACATTTAGAAGGAGAAAATCGCATTCCAAACATTCTGGCATTGTTGCTTAGTGTTACCAAAAGACTCTGCATTTTGTCAGCATCTTCACCAAACGATACTATGTCATCTGCGTATTCCAAGTCGATAAGTGGACCTCATGGAAGGAGATCAATACCCGAGAATTCAGTCGATGAGAATGTTATTTCCATCAATAGGTCGATGATGAAGTTCAACAACAATTGAGATAGTGGACAGCCTTGACGGACACCACTTGAGGTTGCAAAAGTAGATGACAGTTCGCCATAAGCCCTGACTCGACTAGTGGTGTTCGAGTAAAAAGCCTTTACTAGGTTTGCTATGAGCAGCTGTCGGAATTAAAAGAAATATCTTTAAGCAAAGTTTGATAATGTGTAGCATTGAAATGATCAATTCGATTCACCTGCACTCCAATGTTGATATCCACAACTGGACTTCAACCAGTCGCTTTCGCTTTAAACATCGTATAGCCACTGAGTGGCTAAAAGAGGTATTATTTAAACTGTAATTTAATACCTTTAAATGTAAAAATTTTCCCTACTACTAACTCTGATTATGATTCTTAATGTATCATTACATAGATTAATATTTTGCTCTGGCATTTCCTTCAAAATAATCTATTCATAAGTTCGGTTTTTTAAAAGTTTAAACCTTATACATTGAAATTATACCATAGTAGCGAAAATTATATAATAATTCTCTCAAATTTCCTGTAAAGTTGGAATCACTTCAATCCGCTTTTACATCTTCGTTTGTGTTCACGAATAACTGTGTAAATAATCTAATTCCGGCTTTGGAATAGCATTTCTTTATAATCTGAAATGAATCGCTACATTTCATTTTGGACAGTTGATAGAAATAATTAACATTTTAATGATAAATGAAAAATCATTTGACACTGAAATTAATGTACAAAACGGCGATTATATTACTGTACTGATAGATCATGTTCTTAGTTATATATAACGACTAGACACACTTCTTTGGAATGTATCAGTATATTGACAAAATTAACTTTTTTGTTTTCAGAAATCTGTAGAATTTTTCTCTCTCCATTCTGTTAGGTAAGATCCAGTAATCAAAGCGAAAATTCAAGTTGGCAAAATCTAACTGCAATAAATTGTAGTTCTGTTCCTTATGGAGCTGTTATCTGTTCTGACCAGTCAGGTTTTGTACACCTTATAGATCCTCGTGCTGTGTGTTCCAGAAGAACAGGGAGTTTACGTTTCCATAGTGGTGCAAATCTAGCTTCATTTCTAATAAACAAAGAACGCTCAAAATTTGAAACTCCTATCAATGAATCAATCAAGCATACAAGATATAATACGAAATTATGCTGTACGTTCAGTGCTTCAATTTTTGTTGTGTTTACTGTTGAAAATCGTTTTTTGTTTTAATAATATCTGGAATCTAATTGTTGTTCCATGCTAGAAATACTACTGTGGTATACGCTTCTTATGTGGGCAGATATAGGTAGTATGTAACAAGAATAAGGAGTGGAATGCTTACCAGTAGAAGATTGAAATAGAGAGAACGTAAAGAAAGACGGAGAGCAATCAGAATAACGTTGAATTTACTTAAAATTCATTCGCTGAGATTTTACAAATATATATTATTCCTCTTTAATGAATGTATTTATTATATGATTTTCATATTTTACAGAGGCACTACGCAATTTCCCATAAAACAATAGATAAATTTTTCTCATCTGAGCTTCCGTTCACTACATTACTACTATGGTGAAACGTAACTTGCTGATTTATGTACAAATTATTTTATTAAAAACGTATGACCTATCAAATAATAATTAAACTTAACAAAAGTGACACTATTTGTAAGATACGTTGGATTCATTGTATCCTCTTCAGCTGTATAGAAACTGGTGAATTTAATCATTTCCAGTTCATAACATAATGTTGGAATCTACCTTACCGAAATTCGCAAATACCATAGCAATCAGGTAGTTTAGTATGATCTTCGTATTTAAATAGTCAATGGTTAATCTTCAAGTGACTTGTTACATGGAAGCAGGTTAAAGATTTTGACTCGTTTTTCTTTTCTGTAACTAATTATAATCACAATCTGATGAGTTTAATTTACATGTCTGTTTTTTTTTTGTTTATAAACCTCCTGGATTTTTTATTATAAACATACCATTTTTTCATATCCTAATGACTAGGAAAATTGTATTTCTGACGTTTTGTGACCTAATGTAATCCACTTCTTCAGAGTAAATAAATAACTGAATTTATATATATAATGAAATATAAATGTGGACACCATAGAACAATTAATAATGACCGGCGCTTTAACCGAGTTGGTGGACACGGAGGGTCCGCCTAGGGGAGTTGGAAAACCTTGATTCCAAACCAATGATGTATATGGACTCCAGGATCCTGAAGGAACAAATGGCGTATGGGCCAATCGTTGGTCACCAGCTACCATGGGACTGCATCTCCTGACGTTGCTCCACTACCTTGTGGATTAGACCTTTAGGTCAAAGGCTCTTGGTGTGGCCCCCTAAGAAAACCATCTGCTTCGGTTTGGGCACCCAGGCAGTATCCCAGACCTCACATAAATCAAATGATTTGTTTGGTGCCTCCTTGTACTAATGTTTATGTGCTTAAATAAATAAGTAAACTTAACAATGGTTGACTATTTGATTGTTATCACCATACTATGATAAGTAAAAACGATCTATACACTGAATATTATGTGTGATTTTATTTTGTATAGGTGTGGTTTAGTTATTCACTTGAACAATGAATATGAATATTGTTGTTTTACAAGTTGTGTCATAGTTCAGCTATTTGTACTCATATAATATAATTTAGGTTTTTACAAATTAGACCATCTTTAATGTTTGATCTTCAATGTTTACGTAATCATTTATCTTCTCTTTCAACCAGCTCAATAAATTGAATCAACAGTGTATTTCATACACCTCTGTATTTCTAATCATTATATTAGAAATAATTATTACATCATTTTTTAAATGTTTTATTCTCTTGTACATCATATGCTGTTTTTTTTATAATTTAACCATAAAAAAGAACATTCCATAACTAACTCATTTTTGAAGTACACATTCGATTACTTGATTTTTAGACACATGCTTTGTATAAATTGTAATGGTACTCACCCAAACGTATAAACTGAATATATAATTGAAGGGACTTCGAAATTGTGATCTAATATTTGAAAGCTGAGTTCTTTTACTGCTAAATCATTGTTTTCTTTAATTATCAAAAGATTCGGTTCAACAAGCTGTATGTTTTTAATTGACGGACTGTTTTTAGATTTCGTTACATATTTCTTACCTGTATTTTTTTTTACCTTCATTCTATCCATTTAACAGCTCCTACTTTTTACAATCAGTCTACAATGGATTTATCTATCACAAATGTTATGATGAACATAACTAATCAATTCCAACCGTATCATTTATCAATTAATTCGTTTACTAATACAAATAGTAATTCGCCAATTTCTTCTCTACTAAGTGCTAATACAAATATGACTGGTTTGTTAAATTGTTTAACAACTAGTCGAAATGGTTATTATTTATTGTGTGGTTTTACAACAGGCATAATTACTGCATTAGATCTACGAATGGGACAAGTTATTCACATATGGAGAGAATATCAGGATTCAGTAGTTGATGTGAGTAATTTGTTTTTCGTTTTTGTTTCATGGTTCTAATTGTTTTCTTAAATCTATCTCTACTACGATTAAAAATTCTAAAACACTAAGTACACCTTAACTAAGAGTTTCCACACTTGTAAAGGGTGAAACTAATGGTTTTTCTCAATGTGTACACTGTTCGGTCAATGATTTTTCACACAGCTCTACATTGTTAATAACAAAAATGAGGTGAATACAAAATATTCTTTATATAATAGCTCAAACGAAGTTTGCAACAGTGTTTGTGATAAGCGTCACATAAAAATATTTCATCCGTTATTTGGAATCGTTTATCAGAGCTGGTTGATGTTGACCAAAACGAAATCGTCAATATGTTTGGATTGAGCATAAAAGCTAAATTGTTAGAAGTTAATTTTTCCAACATATAGCATCACTCACGTACAGTAAAACTATTCAGTAGAAATATTAGGAAAATGTGTGAAATGCCAGATCAACATGTAAAATCAGTCTATCAGATTATACATGATTTGTATACCGATTATATACTTAGAGTATGTTTCTTCGCTTGTCGAACTAGCGCTCATCTCGTTTGATACCAACATGATGATTGGAGCTTTAATATCTCAACATAAACGTGGAATAAATCTTTCATTGATATATGCCAAGTTTGAAATTGAGTGAAAACACTAATATATTGTACTAAAATGAAGCAAGTTACCGAATGTTTATTCTATGTTCAAAATTTTCAAAATTCCAATTAAACAGGTGGCCTTTATTTTTCATCCTTAAATCACTGAAACTTAACGTAAGAGCGACAAATATGGATCAGATTCTTATAGTCGTCCTGGATTTTACCATAAGTGGATTGATTTCACCAACTGCACTGACACCGTTGTTGCTACCTTGACGTGGTGGTCGGGCTTGCCTATCGTGATGAAGCAACCGAGCTATACTGGCTGGAACAACCGTTCCTCAAGGTCCTACCATGTCAGACAGGTCGGTTGAAGAGCGGTAAGACTAAAAGCAACAAACCCAAGGTCCGAAGGCGAAGTCGTACTGCTGACTGTACAGAGGTGTGACAGCAGTAAGGTGTTTCCTTCAGACAACCAGCATGACAGCGATGCTGCCTTCCCACAAGGAGGGGTGGGGTTAGAAAAGGTCGACCCTAAAAATGCACACCTCACCTTACCTCACGGATTTCCGTCTCCGGCGGTAAGGCCCTTTGAAGAACGGAGCTAACACGTCCAAAACCTTCCACGAAAAGGCCGTGCGCGACCGGCCTCAAGCAGTTGTCCCTTGGCACTGCGGTCACGCTCTCAGGTCACTGAGACCACCTCTAATCCAATTTCCTTTTCAGGTACCAAAAGTAGGTTCCAGGAACAACTGAGGTCACACTTAGGTAGTTGTGAAGACGAGGCTGACCCAGATGTTGCTTGGAAGGGCATACAATCAGCTGTGGAAACAGCAGTGACATCTATTAGTGACTTAAACCACAGAGTTACAAGGAACCAGTGGATTTCTTCAAGGTCTGTCACACTGATGGATTCTCGCAAACTCGTCCCATCAGGTTCTGAACATGATGAAGAGCGTAAACAAATCAGATCTAGGTTAAGAAAAAGTCTAAGGAACGACCGTGAGCAGTGGTGGGTAACGAAAGCAAAAGAGATGGAAAAGGCGGCGACTATAGGGAACACAAGACAGCTTTACAGACTAATAAAAGAAACTGGAATTAATAAGTCAAGTGTAAGTGAGATTATTTCGGAAAAAGATAATACTCTCATCTGCTCCCAGTCCAGACGTTTAGAACGATGGGCGGAACATTTTAGAGAACAGTTCAGCTGGCCTTCAGCTACTCTACAACTACCCTCCATTCCCAGACAATGTGAATGGAACATTGAAGTAGGTCCCCCAACTCTTGCTGAAGTTCAAAAGGCTATAGTTAATCTGAAACGAGGAAGGGCAGCTGGTCCAGATGGATTGGCTCCAGAGGTCTTTAAGGATGGTGGTCCAATTTTAGCGATTAGGTTGACTAATATTTTAGCTAAGATCTGGGAATTAGACCTTATCCCATCTGACTGGTCGCAATCACTTATCGTCCCAATATATAAGAAAGGGTCAAAATCATCCTGTGACAACCACAGAGGGATTAGTTTAACAAACATAGTATCTAAAATACTGGCCTCGATAATTATCAAACGCCTAACTAAGACTCGTGAACTACAAACACGAGAGAACCAAGCTGGCTTTAGACCTGGTCGTGGCTGCATCGACCACATATTCACCATTCGTCAGGTTCTAGAACACAGGCATACCTATCGGCGTCCGACGATGGTGGTCTTTCTTGACTTAAAAGCAGCATTTGACTCTGTAGACCGCGAGACTCTGTGGCAGTGTCTGTCATTGAAAGGCGTACCTCAGAAGTACATAAACCTTGTGAAGGCTCTTTACTCGAACACTACTAGTCGAGTCAGGGCTTATGGCGAACTGTCATCTACTTTTGCAACCTCAAGTGGTGTCCGTCAAGGCTGCCCACTTTCTCCATTTTTGTTTAACTTCATCATAGACCTATTGATGGAAATAACACTCTCGTCGACTGAATTCTCGGGTATTGATCTCCTTCCAGGAGGTCCACTTATCGACTTAGAATACGCAGATGACATAGTCCTGTTTGGTGAAGACGCTGACAAAATGCAGAGTCTTCTGGTAGCACTAAGCAACAATGCCAGAATGTTTGGGATGCGCTTCTCTCCCTCTAAATGCAAGTTGTTGCTTCAGGACTGGTCTGCGTCAACACCTGAACTAAGGATAGGGAGTGAAGTAGTCGAACGTGTTGACAACTTCACTTATCTTGGAAGTCTGATCAGCCCTAATGGGTTGGTGTCTGACGAAATCTCAGCACGGATTCGTAAAGCTCGTTTGGCTTTTGCCAACTTACGTCACCTTTGGCGGAGGCGAGATATCCGTCTATCAATAAAAGGACGAGTATACTGCGCGGCAGTCCGTTCTGTCTTACTTTACGGCAGCGAAACATGGCCTTTAAGAGTAGAAGACACCCGTAAGCTACTAGTATTTGACCACAGATGCCTTAGAAATATTGCTGGCATCTGCTGGGATCACCGGGTAAGTAATAGTGAGGTTAGACGCAGGGTATTAGGGAATGATGGTAAATCAGTTGATGAGGTTATGAATCTTCATCGACTGAGATGGTTGGGCCACGTATTACGTATGCCTGAACACCGATTACCACGACGTGCAATGCTAACCGGTGTAGGGGATGGTTGGAAGAAAGTTAGGGGCGGCCAAACCAAAACGTGGCATCAGTGCTTGAAGTCACTAACTTCTAGTCTGAGCCATGTTGGTAGATGCAGACTACTTGGTTGGGGTCCGCGTGACTTTCGTAACCAATGGTTGGAGACTCTTGGTGACATGGCCCAGAATCGATCACAATGGCGTCGGTGTATACACTCCCTGTCTTCCCTTAAACTAAGAGATTAAAATCACTTCATACCTTTCTTTCTACGAACTAATTCTTCCTTCCTATACTATATCCTTATTGCAACCTTTGACCTAACCACTCCTATGAATCCGGTGTTCATCTTGTTGTGCTAATGAGGTATGGCAACCTGGACCGATGCACATATGTGCCTGGTCCTACGTTGTAGCTGACTGACTGACTGACTGGCCAATCGAGTTTTTCGGCAGTTTTCAATGACCCAATATATAACAGTTCGGTCACAAGGAATGCTTCTATCGATTTTGATGGAATACCTTGACTTTCAACTGAACATATTGCTATTTTACTCATGAATTTTTCATCCTGCCATTTAAGTTATTAACAGGAAGATAAAATTACTCCTCAGAGTAAACAGTTGATTCGTTAGTTATCTAATCCAGATTTTTTTACCATATTAAGCTCCATATAGTAATACTCCTTATATATTGATATTATTATTCACTTTAGATTATCCCACATCTTTTGAATGGATTTATATCATGTAACGATCGAAGTTTGTCATTCATTAATCCAACTACTTTATCAAAATTCAATCAGGATTCATTATCAACTTCATATAGTGAATTAGAAACTTTTAATTATTTACTGAATAAACCCACAATTGTTTTAAAACCAAAATCTATTCGAATCCCATCAACGCTCCAGAATATCACATGTTTAACTAAACATCAAGAAAATCCTATATTTTGTGCTAATTCTCTACCTTCATCATATCCATTACCGAGTACAAGTCGTTTCCCAATTTTTGGCAGTGGAAGTGGAATCGGAGGAACAAGTAATGTAACTACTAACTCAGATAAATCATCATTGTCATCCATAATAAACGAAACATCAACTACACCGTTTTCAACTGTTACAACAGTACCACAACCATACTACAATACTACTAATAATAATAGTGGAACAATATTAGCAACTTGTTCATATCCATTCAATAATAATGATAATAATAATATAAATGAAAACTTTTATACATTAGGCAGAATTTCTTCACATTTTCTACGTGGTTCCATTAGTGCCATTAGTTCATTATCAGAAAATAATTTATTATTAATAGGAAGTGATACTGGTGCATTAAGTTTATTATATTAAATTTAAATCAATTATGTAAACTAGTTTACAATGAAATTTTCAATAGTGATTTTGAAAAAACAAAAAGGCATTTCACTTTGTTTTGTTTATTTTGTCTTTTTTTTATTTGTCGATATTATTTACATACTAACAAAATGTGTATTACACAATAGATCAATTTAAGTGAACAGCATTATAATGCACAAATATATATTCACTTATTCAAACATTCTGAAGTTACTGTACTATTCTTATTATTATTATTATTATCATTGTTAACATTCCTTTATGGTGAAATGAGAAACATCAGATCGTTTGAATACTTTGTTATACATATATGTGTATACTTTTGTAAACCGTTATTTAATTTACACTGAGCTCGATAATAATAATAATAATGATTGTATTGAAAACGATTTTGTGCTGTTTTTCCAATGAATTATTTTTTAATGTTATTAATAATAATCACTGTTTATTCCTACTTTTCTATTATTGACTCTATTTTTATGACTCCTATGTTTTCTTTTTTGGTCATCCGTTAGCAACTTACTTTTTATTAAACGCTAAAATATTGAATTTTTGTTATTTTCCCCTTTATTTTTCTCAAATACAATGAAAGCAATATTAAAATGTAAATGATGACTTCATGTGTTTTATCCTTTTTAGTAAAAAAAAAGGAGAAAAGAAAGAGAAAACGAATAGTCACCAGACTTCTTTTGAATGATGTGTGTGATTTAAATCCATAGATGACATTTTGTTTTTTAATTATATTTAATTGTAACTGAATGTATTAAGTTAAACATTAATTTTAATTTTTGTAGTCTTGATAGGGATCTACGGAAACGCAAGGGATTAAGAATCAACCAATCGAGTTAATTATGTGGCAGTTATATTAGTGGCAGCTTCTGTATTTCTTGTAAAAATTAAATATTATTAATAACATTAATTTTTTCTTCGATAATTTGACATGAATTGAACACACACACTTATCTGTGTGTGTGTGTGTCTCTTATCAGACAATAATTTTGGAATAATCATTTTCCCTGTTGTTCTTTTGCTTCAGAATACTAATTTTGAATGATTTCCCTCATTTGTTAATAATTTAAACTGGAAAGATAAAAGGATTCATGTACATTCTTATATGTTCTTCTTTTACGCGTTCGTCCATATATATATATATATATATATATATATATATATATATATATATATATATATATATATATATATATATATGCTAAATGATGGTTGGAAAATCATATAATTTTAAATTTGATGGAACTCACATTTAGATACTGTTTATTTACTGAAATCCGAATAGGTGTAGTGGGATAGGAAGTTGATTATTAATGATGGATTAGCTATAATACATATTTTAAATGAAATGGCTCGGTTTAATAGAATGTTACTACATTTACTAAGCGCCTAAAGCAATTAAATTTAATTTGCTCTGCATAAAAGCTGTTTCATGTACTGGATTTAACCAAAACAGTTCTATGCTTGATAGGATTCTTTAGGATGAATAACAAAATGTTGTTTAGTTCAATTATTACTCAACCCTTTATTTTGACAGGATCTTTGTTCTTATATCACATTAAATTTTGTGTGTTAATCTAAAACAGATGTATGAAGGTTAGAAATGATGATCTGTTATTAATATCAGAATATAATTTACAAATAAATGATTAATATATATTCATAAAGAACCCTTTTAGTGCACTTATCTGTAGTGATCATTTGTTTCAATATTATATCACTATTCGTTTTCCAGTGTTACATGTTTGTAACTATCCTGATTGGTCTGATTCTTAAAGTTATCGAATAAAAGAGCATACATTTGGAGTACTGAATTTCTTGTAAACAAAGTTATTTTGAATGACTCAACCTTGATCAGTTTTCTTAATTACAAATTCGTCAGTTAGAATTAAGGATTACTGGAAATCTGTATCGAAATGCATTCAGACTTCCTATTAGTTCCAAATGGTGACTAAATAAGCTATTCAGTCCTTGCCACTTGTCCAACCGACTTGTCTATGATAAGCTACCAGATTGAACAAAGCACCATTAACTACCTAACCAAACTTGTATTAAGCTGACTTTTAATTTATAAATCACCTACATTTTTTCTTTTCCATATAACCTATTCAGAATAATAATTGTTTATTCGATCGCTGAATAACGCCAATTTTATTTTGCTTTTATCTTTCACAGCCATTGCTAGAACTAATAATAAAAACAATATCATGCCAAAGTCGTCTGCTAAAAGTGACAATTCAAAAAGTGGTAAGATGAGTGGAAAAAGTTCAACTAATTCTAACAATAAAACTGATAATGCATCATCAACCGGCTCTGGTAAACAGTCTAAGTTGGCAAATGCGGTGAAGGTAACTTATTTAATATGACAAAATGCTTTGTTATTTGTCATAAGCATTTTTTTTAGATTGTGTTTACCTCAAATTCAATGTTTTCATTTACGTTTTTCAGCATTTGTGGAATATTTCCTTTATTTTTTATATTAGATCTATGGTGTCCTAGAATATTTGTCTTTTTGTTTACAAAGTCAATGAAGTGTTAACCGTTATTCTCGTTGCTTATTGATCATTGATAAAATCCCCTTAACTCACTCAGTATGATGGTTATACCTTGAAGTTGACTGATTTACTAGTTTGATCGTGATTTACCGTAGTTATTGCTTTCTATGGTGATGAATATTTGATTTGAGAAAGGTTTTTTAAGTAGATGTACTTTCGTTTCACCGACAAATTGAAATGTAACAAACATCAAATTAGTAGATCAGTTTATGTTTTCTGTACTGCTGATGAGATGTATTTTCATCTTTAAAACCAGTTCATATGGATTGTAAGTAGTTGTTTTCCAGTGGCGTCATTTAATTTCTTCAATAGTGCTGCATTTCGCTTCAAACTGTAGTCAAAGATATGTATATTCGTTATGGAACTACACAATATAACTCATTAACCATATACTCATATCTGAGCCGCGCACGTACTCTAATGTTTTTTTTCATTTCTGAACAGATTTTTCACGTTTTTACTAAAAATTTCCTTGAGGAGACAAGATACAATTAGTTTCATCTCATTCATTGATACTACCTGGTTTTCCAAACGTAAATAAACAGAACTTTGTTTAAACTCAATAATCTAATGAATTCTGAGTTCTAATAAATATTTTTCTTATCACTTTGTGAATGAGCACTGCTGAGGATTCCAATATTCGGACGAAACCACCGTCCAGTGATTCCAGGTTTTCAATGGTGGCCTAGCTTAGATCGACTCGTGATTTCGACTTTTAAAATGAATATTTCAACAGCTGATAACCAACTTAAATTTTGATTGAATAAGAACTTTTAAATGAGCATACATTCTCAGTGGATTAGGAGTATAGATAATAATATGTAAATCCTGTATTAAAGGAGTATTGCAAAGTTATTGTCATTGTATGCACAATACCTAGTATCAATTATTCAGATATTATTGTCGTGTAATGTTTTAGTTGGTTACAGTAACATTTAGTTTAAATAAATATCACTGTTGGGGAAAATAATACTATCTTTTCCTATCTACTATCTTTTTAGAATTATCTTAACTTTATGTCCTTTCTTACTTCTTTACTCAATATTTATTCGCAATTTTAAAGTTTTGATTACGATTCAGTGGAAACTACTTTCTATTATAGTTAATGCTTTGTTATTTCCCTGTAACAAAACAAAACAATTTTTTACATATCTTGCTTTTAATGGTAACATCTTACGTAATACCTACACTTCATATATCATTGTTCAGATGAGTGTTAAACTATCAAGAATTAATTATAACTGCCAAATGTTACTACATTAACTAAGATTGACCTTAGAAAAACCTTAAAATTTGTATGCAAAAGCAGTTTTACATTTATAATTTTGTCGAAGCCTTGACCATTAGAATATTTAATCCTTTCATTTGTTCGAAAGTAATTTAATCACTTCTTTTAAATTGACCTGGTAACCCTGAACCCAATTTCAAACCTATGGAGTATTTTAATAATTAGCTATTCTGTTTAGATTACGTCTTATATATGCTTTTAATATGATCTTCTGTGATTTACTTTTATTTAAGGTACGTCATATACTATGTGAAAAACAAAGTAAATGCTTAGAAGCTTTAGAACAACTTAAAAATGGTAAACGTTTTAATCAAGTAGCAGAAATGTACAGTGAAGATAAAGCTCGTTCAGGGGGTGATCTAGGATGGATGTCCCGTGGATCGATGGTCGGTGCATTTCAAGTTAGTTATAATTTAATTTTGCTTGAGATTATGCATTGATAATTCAATTACTTTTATTTTGTACCTCATGATAACATCATCTTACTCGAGATTTATACCATCATTGATAATATTGTACTATTCATAATATTTTCTCCTTATTATAAATCTCAGAAATATGTAAATCTATTAGTCCAGTATCTTTCAAATTGGTCAGTTTAACATGAACTGTACTGATACGAAAAACTATATAAATAATCAGCCAAAACTTTTTTTATTGATTATTGTTTTGATAGAAAATAGTCTGAAGCGATCTATAGTATCAGGGTTTTTAAATGATTTCTATTACAATAATTACAACATTATCATAATTTTGTTACAGCTTTTAAGTTTATCACATGTACCTTCTGTATTATTTATAGTTGTGTATTCATCAAAATGTGTCATCTTGATATTTCTCCTCATATCTTCGCCATCAACTCAAATATTGTGAGACTAAGAGTGTTACCAATGCAAGCAACTTATTTGTGATGAACCTAATTAATTTTTTTTATGTTAGAAATCCATAGAATGACTTTCCGTTTAATTTATTAAAACTACTATGATATACAAGTATTTTGATGTGGTATTTTCTTCCTCTCATGAATTGACTTATATTATAGTCATGAAACATTAGAAATACAAATTATTACTTATTAGGACATCACAAAAAATATTGTTATTTTTTTTCAAGTAAATGTTTTTATTCGGATCTCGATTGTT